CCCCGGGGGCCTGTGGCTTCGGCTGCTGGAGCAAAAAGCCCGCGCTCTGTTCTCGTTTCGCAGAGCAACGACACCGTGTAATAGTGCTTTGAGAAACTGTACTGACAACTCCAGCACTTGCCTAGCACAGAGGAATCGAACTCCTTCCCTGCAGCATTTTCCCTCTGTGCTCAGTAAAGCAGCTAAAAAGCAAATAAGCTGATGCGGTCCATGATCTGCCTAAGCACAGCCTTAGTTTTAATCCCAACTCTTCCAGGGAATCACTGCTAAGGCAAATTCCTGCTCTCCCCACTCCTGCCGTTGTTCATCCATAACACGCGAGCGGCAGCCCATGGACGCGCGTTTGCATTTGTAACTGGGTTTCGTCTGGTCACGCGCGCAACGCACGTGCCTTTCCCTTCCAGATACCTGCACGATCCAGTTGTAGCGGCACAAGTGCTCAACCCATTGGCATTTTAAATACAGGTTTAGTCATTCAGCTAGAAATCAGGGATGAATACTGAAGACCTATTTGATTGCCAAGTATTATTCTTACAATGAAATAATTTGCAAAAACTCAAGGAACTACATAGACTGATATAGCTTTTTTTTAATAGACCAAAGTAAACGTGCAGGTGTGCATGCGTATACAGAAAAAACAAACCTCTGAGGAAGGTCATTTACATTAATTTAAATTCAGAACATTTCACATACCAGGTGTATTGATCTGTATAATACATAAACACAGATTATGCATTTACAGCAATTTATATTGAACAACATTGAAAATATCTTGGTCCAGCAAATATTCCATTACTAATTTTATGGATAGTCCCTGGTTAAATAAAAAGGCCACTGCTGAATGGTCAAAACGCAAATACATGTTTTCTAAGCAAGTACTGCATACCTTGCACAGAATAAACATTTTTACTGTACCACCCAGGATCACTTGATGTGTTCATTTAAGCTACTAATTACTGTAAAACTGCTCTAGTATTAGTCCTTTATGTAATGTCCTATACTATGTAATACAGCTTTGTCAGCTTTTCTCTTTCAAAGTAGTTTGTGGCATCCAGATTGAAAATACACATCCAGCTGTCTTTAGTGCAGGAAGAAACACACACAAATTACTTGATCACATTTAAATTTCTTATCCCATGTATAATGATCATAAATAATTTAGAGTAACAATACACTTAAAAGCCTGCTAATTCAATCCCATTTCCCAATCTGAAAACACGAGTTAAGAATATGCAGTATTTGAAGTGAAGCCATATACAGCAGGAGAGCATCTTACAGCCTTCACTAGAAACTCCTGCTGGTGAACACATGCAACAGCTGTGAAAACATAGCCTGAAGGATCTCAGAGTGCCCTCAACCCAGGGCTGAAAACAGCTTTATATTGAAGATTCTCCCTGAACTTTCACTAGGTCTGCAACAGTTTAAGAGCAGGCATGCCCACGGAGTTACACCTAATGGACACCAGCAGAAACGAGAGAGCTGTAGTTGTTCTGAATTAGACCAAAAACACATTTCCAAGTACCAAGGCTCCTTATGAGCAGCATGTCCTGAACGTGCCCCACAAGAAGCCTGGATCCTCCTCTAGAGAGAGGAATTCCTCCTCCTGTCTCCTACCTCCTCCGCAACATGCAGTGCCCGGGCTCCTCTGGAGGGTTTGCCTGTCACGCAAGGTGGAATCAGCTCCACCGAGTAGCTCAGTGCCCACTGGCTTAAGTCAAAGTTCAGAAGCCCCTGGGTGAGCCCAGTATTCCCATCTGCGATATTCTCATGTCATATCTATGCTGCAGTATCTCCTACATGCTGCCCCATCAGAATCAAGGCCTTAACATGCTCAAATGCCATACGCACATAACTGAAGACACACTGAAGACTTTACAGTTTAAAAAGCCAAACGACACATGGAAAAGTATGTGGAGAGCAGATACAGTCAAGCGTATACACTCGACACATGCATCATACATTTGCTGTTGTTCTATGATAACACAAGTGCATCTCTCCTCAACTGTCCCTCCAGGCAGCCAGCAGAAACAAGCTGTGCCTGGGGGAAAAGGGAAGTTCAACCAGTGTAATACGTCTCTGTGTTTTGGGGAAAACAAGCATGACAGCTGTGGAACAATCCTTGCGATTATCATCTTCATAATTATAAAGGAGTGCTACTTCCTGGGCTGACTAATACAGGCTTATTGGAGTTGTCTGTTGCACATTAAGAAGCTGCTCTAGTAAAACATGACAGATGGTTCTGGTACTCACAGAGCAAAATACAGGAGGAGTGAACATCCCAACTGGCACAAGTCTCCAGTGATTTGTATAAACATTACAGAACAGCACTGACGGAGCTGCGGAGAATGCTTAGCGGAGAGTTTCTTCCGCATCCTGGGACTGTGTTGAGGGCACAATCGTGTCCAGTTTCAGAACATTCTAGTAAAAACAACAAGCAAAATGTTAGCTTTGCAATAAATGTGCTACTCTGAGATGCCTAAATAGCACTGTAATAGATTTCCTAAAATTAGATAGATACTAAGGAAAGCACAAAAGCCGGCTGCTGCTGTTTACTTGTGGCACTGAATTCACTGGAAGAGTTAAGGTCATTTTGCAAAGGAATAATTTCAGGAACAGGCAAGAACACAAGAGCTGCTCTACTGGGTCAGATTTATCATCCTTTACCCCAGCTATCAGCAGTGGATGCTTAGTAGCAAAAGTATAAGAAATGGTAAGAGTGATAAAATGATATAACCTCTGCTTCTGACAGCCAGAAGTCTGGGGACTTGGGACAAAAACAAGGGTAGCAACCTGACTCTGTCTACAGACACTCACCTTCCACGGATCTCGGTCACTCTTTTCCGTGACGGTGGCTCCTGCTGTGTTTGCATGCCCTGGTACAGGACTTCCCTTCCTTTGCTGGGTTTCAAGCAGCTCCCTAACCCCTGAAACGCTTTGTACATTTTCTGTGACACCTTCTACTTCTCTCTTTTTGGTGTTTTCACTGATGTCTGGCTGTTTCCATTCAATTTTCACCCCTACCTGTTTTGTTTCTCCCTCCATTGGCCCTTCCCTTCCATCAGGGTTTCTCTCTGTTATCACTGTCTTTAGAGCTGCCTCCTCCTCCACCGCACCCTGGCACAGTCCCGCTTCTCCTGTTACACCTCTCCCTGCAGGCACTGCCACCCCGTCTCGATGCCCTGGCACATTCGGTGATGCTTCTGTAATCAGCTTATCCCTGACGGACAGTGTTCCCCGTGCTTCCACACACTTTGCAGATACAATGTCCTCTGCCCTCTCCTGCTCCTCCAGTCCAGCCTTCCCCACCTCTTGGCCCTCCCAAGGGCTGGCTTTCTTCCAGCCACACGAGGCAGCCTCTGCCTTGATGTACTCCAGTGGCGATGATGTTTCTGCAGGCTCCTCACTCCAGAGCGTTGCTCTGCTGTTTCCCACGTCACCGCTACCCGCTCCATCCTCCAGCTTGATCTCCCTCGGCGCGGACACATCCTGCGGCCTCTCTCGCTCCGCTGCGCTCTCCTTGGCCACCTCCAGCGCAGCCCCCTCAGGCCTCTCTCTGCTTCCCATTGCTGCAGCCTCAGCCACCACCATCACGCTCAGGCCATCTCCCCCAGCCGGCACCGTCATTGCTCCTCTGGCCACTGCATCTCCCTCCGCTGCCACCCCCCTGGCCACCAGTCCTTCGGCCTCCACCACGCTTGCTGGCTCTTCCTCAGCCACTGCTGCGGGCTCCTTCACCGCCCCTCTGGGCGCTGCTGCTGCTGCCCCCCCAGCCACCCCTGCCCTGTCCCTTCCTGTTTCTCCCCCCACCCCCCGCCGCCGCTGCGTCCAGCGCCATTCCCACCGCTGCTCCTCCCACTGCAGCTTCCTCAGCCAAAACTGCCTGTCCTGCTGCTGCCTGCTCTCCCACCATGGCTCCCTCCATCTCAGCCTCCTCCCCCACCTCCCCTGCAGCACTCGCGCATAGCTCCTCTACAGGCATTGCTGATGTACCTGTCACCTCTTTACCAAGAGGCACCTCTAGATCCAAAATCACCTTTTCTGTCCTTTTCCCTTTAGCAGCCTCCAGCAATTCCTCCATCCCAGCTGCCAGCTCCCTCAGACCTGCTGCTCCATCTGCGACCTCCTCTCCACAACCTGACTCTGCTGTGGCTTTCTCCACAGATTCTCCCATCACTACCCTATCAGTCTTTCCTTCCACTGCTCCGTCTGTCTGTGCTTTGCAGCCCAGAGATGGATTTCCCCTCAAAAGTGCCACTTGGTCTGCGCCTGCTAAGTCTTCCTCCTCCTCTGCTGTTACTGTTTCCCCCAGCTGAGATGAGCCTTCAGTTACAGGAACCCTTCCAGCATCCACCAAGGCCTCTAGTCCAGGAGCTACTTCTAAGAAGGAGCACTTGCCTGACTCCATGGACTCCTCCACTGCATCTTCTGCTCTCTGGAGGGAGCTGTCTTCTACCTCTGATGGTTCGTCTGTCTCAAACATCGTGGCTCCTGTGGCAGCTTTCCCCATCTCCATCCACTCCTCCCCTGCTGCTTTCAGCTGAGGAAACTCCTTTGGCTTTATGAACTCTTCTCTTCCAGGTGCTGCTTCTCCTGTGCAAACTTTCATCTCCCCTAATGTCTCCAGTAGAGCCTCAGGCTTCTCCATAGCCTCGTCTCCTTCAGAAACAGCTTCCTCCATAGCCTCTTCTCCTTCAGGGCCTACCACCCTCACAATATCTTCTGCCAAGTTTGCATCTTCCATAGCTTCCTCTCCCTCAGACACAGCAACCTCCACAATGTCCTTCACAGCAAAACTTCCCTCCTCCATAGCCTCCTCTGCCTCAGACACCGTCTCACTCACCACCTCCTTTGCCTCAGAGGCTTCTTCCACAGTTTCTTCTCCCTCAGAGGTTTCTTCAGCTACTTGTTCCCCCCCAGACACCGCTCCATCTACCTCCTTGCCTATCAATACCACTGCCCCTACCACCTCTTCTCCATCAAGTGCTTGCTCTTCCAGTGCTTCCTCACCCTTCTTCACATCCTTCAAAACTTCCTGCTCCCCAAATGTCACCTCTCCACCAGAGACCATTCCCTTTCTTGTCCCCTTCTCTTCTGGATCTTCTTCTGTCATGGTCTTCTCCTCAGGTGCAGGCTCTTCTACAGCATGCTGACCTTCCACAGCCACTGTGCCTTCCTTGGACAGCAAATCTCCCTTCAGTGCTGTTTCGTGTCCTGCCTTTTCATCTCCTTCCTCAGCTACAAAATCTTCCTTCTCAAGTGCTTGTTTCTCCCCCACCATCTGCCCTTCTTGTACCACTTGTTCTGCTGCCTTTTGTATTTCAAGTGCTCTTGTCCCTTCTGCCAAGAAAGCTCCATCTGGTGCTATTAAGAAATAATCAAAACATTAGTTTTATTGAAATAACTGTGTTAATGTTAAAGCTGTTTTATGAGGTGGTTATTAAAGATACTATCTCTCCCAAGCAATGAAGGGATATCGGCATGGTGACAAGAAGAAAACTTGGCTCTGCTGATTCACGTTACGCACCTGTGCGCACATTTCTAGCATTGTCACGCTGGCACCTGGCATAACTAATTTAAGCAAAAATGTTGATGCACGACCAGCTTTCAACACTGACAGTTCTCCCTGTCCTTCCCACTTTCTCCCCCTCACCTGCCTAGCCAGGAGCTCAGGGTGTTTACATGAAATAGTTATAAGCTTGACACTAACATTCAAATACTCAAAAATAGGTGGTAAATTACTCATGTAAAATATGCACACACAAGAGGAAAACTACACAGCTGTTCATGTAAAATGGGTAATTGCTTCCCCTGGATTCTGTAATTACACCAGGGGAATAACAAAGGGCCTCTTCCTGCCCCCTGGGAATTTAACAGCAACGCTCCCGCTGAATTCAGCGTTCCAGGATCTGCCCCCAGCAGCCACCTCCAGCCGTTCGTGCTGCTGCAGCTGCGCGTTGCACACGCGCGGCAGGTTCCTGTACGGCAGAAGACGGGAGGTGTTGTGCCCTGCAGGGAGCAAGGAGCAATGTCTTTTCCGAGTTGTGCTTTCTCAAAGTGGGCAAAACCTGTCTTGTCCCAAATCATCTGCCACTATTATTTCCCCTTCTTGCACTGCTGCAGCATCCCATAATTACTGCTTGTTGTGGTCTGCTTGGACAATAAACTGTGCAGCAGAAGCCCATCTCTCGAATGGCAGTCGCAGATGGCTCCAGGTGACGATCAGGACTGAAGGACACTATTTGTCCAGGCCCAGCTCTGCCAGCAGAGGAGCAGAGCTCTTGTCTGGTTTCCAAGCTCCTCCCTCTGGCCTTGCCCACTCCCTAACACCGCCCTTCCCCTTCCTGCCCTTCAGAAGGGGACGCAATTCATTCACTAGGCAGGTCTACCACACAGGAAAGCAGGAGATGCACAGGCAGCTCAAGAAAGAGTGAAGGAACCAGAGGAAGAAAGAATGAGCTGAGAAGACGGTGTGCAGAGAGAGAATGGAGGTCATGAAAGGAGGGAGAGGGAGCGCAGTGCTCTGTCTCCTCCCACCAGATCACTCATCGCCTAAACACTAGACACGCATTTAAATTAAAAATTCCACATTGCATTTTGCAATACAAGAAATCATGGCTTCATCTAGATGTGCCTTCCACCAAGTACATTGTTTATGTTTACTACTAGCTTCCTGAAGTCCCTTAGGCTTCAAAATTTTTCTTCTTTTATATGTATATGTCTCAATCAGCTGTTAATGACTGTCATATTGTTATAGCACTCACTGAAAATCCTACCTCCTGAATCTGGGCAAACTCAACGCACCATTAAAATCGGTAACATAATAATCACTAAAAATGTGTAATAGAGGCTTTGGTACAAAATGAGATAAAAAATCCCTATCATCCCAAGCCAGAGTCAAATATTAGTGTCTCTGCAAAGGCATTGTGCCTGAACTGTCCAGCTGCTAATACTGGACAAGGTCTTCTGCAATGGATTTTGGTGAGTCCTTGTAAAGCAGACACTTTGTTTACTTCTTCTAACAGAAGCTGAATGCTGTGCGGCGCATGGCGCAGTCCATGCATTTACCTTCTTCATTAGCAGAGAGATAAGGAGTTAATTTATCCTGCCCATCTTGACATGGCATTTCCCCAGGGTGCTTCATGTTACCGATTACAAAGTCTACTTGGAAGCAAAGGGAAACTCGCTAGACACCTGCTTTTCACTGCTATTTTCCTGACTGGCAGCCATTTTCCTTCTGCCTTAGATTCTTTAGCCAGGATCATTATAACTCCCCAAAAGGCAGCAATTATACATTACTACAGAGGCCAGTCAGTCATCACCCGATTTAAACCAGTCAGGAGAAAAAAAAAGGAGTCAGGAAGGTAAAGAAGAACACAGGGAAGGTTTGATAGCCTGGAAAGGAAAGGGAAAGGCATAGATTGTAAATGAATAAGATTTAACCCAGGTCCCTGATCATGTTAGCTGACCTCACCTTCATTGATATCGTGCTCTGTGCTTATTAAGTTCTCTTCTTTCTCATCTGTTCTGGAATCGCTAGGTTCAAGTTCAGAATTCAAGAGATGATCGTTTTCAATTGCCTCTGCTATTTTCTCTTGGATTGATTTGCAATCTTCAAAAAATATCACAAAATTACAAAAGAGGATGCAACAAAGAGAAGCCATCAAAAAGCAAAAGTGGAGTAGAAATCATCCAGTTAGCTCGGCTTGACTTAAAAATCTGTAATATTAGTGTAGGTCTGATTGGCACCCAGTAAATCTTCATCAGAAATAATTTTTTCAAGTAGAATAAACTCAAATGGCAACCACTATCAAAAAAAGAGCAAGCGAGCAAGAGAGATTCATGCAGGAGCAGCTACAGAAACATGCAGCAGCAGCCTTCCACAAAATTTTCACGAAACAGTGACACTACCTTTGTCAGGATGGAGGAGAGGGAGGTTCAATGCACAAGCAACATTGTTTTATAGACATAAAAATCTTTTTGTTCCATAGCTACTTTTTTAAAAGTTGTATGACATTTTTCTATTTTAAGCTCCCAGTTAAAGTTCTGATGAATCCTCAACTCCCCAAACTAGCAGAAGTGACGGAAGATTTGTTTGTCTATACATAAGTAGGGACATATTTTCTACTCTGTAAATGCAGTGACTGAGATGCTTCAGTCAAGTCATACCTGTAACATTATCGTTAAGACTGAGCTATCAATTCCATTTTTGCTCTATGAATTGCATGCTGGGTAATTACACAAAAGGCTTTCAAGGCTGTAATACTAAACTACTTCTCTATGAGTAGTATTCCATCTGTACACGCAGCCTATCCCTCTGGCATCTTCCCTGAAAGCTCTTCCTGTCGGCATCCCAGGCTTATCCCTTCGAGTTCCATCAGTTTTCTCTCTCTCACCTTTGCTATTGCTGTTATCGGTTTAGGGTCTTTTAGACAAAGAGTTTGCTGGTTTGCCTTTGGTATAGATTGACAACATAAAGGCAAATCTAGCATCTAGGTCTCTACTGCCACTGTACTGCATCCCATTAGGAATCACAGAAAGTACATCTCCCAACAGTTGTCCACTTCTTGTTTGTGGTATCACTATTAGTGTGAGACTTGGCTCATTCCTGCGGCAAATCTAGCATCTAGGTCTCTACTGCCACTGTACTGCATCCCATTAGGAATCACAGAAAGTACATCTCCCAACAGTTGTCCACTTCTTGTTTGTGGTATCACTATTAGTGTGAGACTTGGCTCATTACTGCTGCTGCTCGGATGGTGCCCAATGGCTCATACGTTCCATACTGCTCCTACACAGTTTGGATCAAATGAGAGGAGCTCAGTCAACTACCGGTACTCATCAAGAGTACCTACATCAAGAATAACTTCAAGACCATAAAGGAGACAATCACAATATTACTAGATCTTGTTGCTGTAAATGCCATGAAGTGGCACACTGGTCAAAATCACCACTGCAGAGGAACTGCTGCAGAGATCACCGATCCCAGGCTTCAGCTTCTGGATGCCTACTGACCAGATCAATGTCAAGGCTCATTGATAACATGGACAATTTTCAACATCTTCATCAACGCTTTTCTCAGAATCATCCTAGAGCATTTTATTAGACAAAGCCATTTGTTTTGAGCAGGGTTTCGGCCTGTCAGAAAAAAGATTTGAATCCTAACTTGGGCTCCTACTGCAAAAATACAACTGCCAGACAGCTTTCAGCAAAGCTGAGGAGAACAATAAACCACTCAACATTTTTCTGGCTAAATCTTGACTCACAGCGTATATAAAGAGGTGTTACATGGTATGATATCTTGACTTTCAAGTAACATCTTATCTAGATTTCTCTGAAATTAAAATAAGGAGCCATGAGCAGGAAGCTAATGCCCCTGCACTAAGGGACTGGCTGACTTTGGGCCACTCTGCAGCAGAGCATGTAATAAAGGTACCCAACATTTTGGGCATCATCAAGAAGGGACAGAAGGGAGTAAACACGCTGCAACAGGAGGCTGAAGGCCAGACAGTAACAGCAGATGCAAAAATGGACTGGACAAAGTCATGGACATCAGATCCATAAATGGATGCTAAAGGGACTAGGCAAGGATCTTTTTTTCTTACAGTTGCGTACAACAGATGTGCCTGATGGAGGACTATGAAGTGAGCGAAACATAAAACAGCACACCTCTCATGCTCTCTGAACAACATCTTCTCTTCCCATCATCAAAAACAGACTACAGTGATAGATGCACCTCTGGGCACTTCTTATGTAATGAGGAGCTCTGCTAGAAGAAAACTGGTTGCACAGAAATAAGCACAGTAAGACTGACCGACCTGGCCACTAGTCTCATCCAAATTGTCCACCTGCCTCTGCCATGAAGTGACAAGTAGCCTTGCAGAATATGTTCAGAAAGATATACCATCTTTCCTCAAAGCGTTTGAACAGGTCTTCTATGGAACGCTATCACTTCTGGATGTCGTGTATTGAAATCACCCATCGAGAACACCTTTACTAAAGAAATCCAACAGTCCAACCTCCAAGCTATATGTGGGTAAAACTCAATAGCTTCAGGTATGCAGTAATTAATGATCTTTGTCTTTTCTCCTGTGTCAAGTTGAAAGGTAAAAGCTACAGGCCTGCATGAAGCAGAAAAACAGAATCAATAGTCATTAGGAAGGAGTGCTTGGGTCTTTCACTAAGCTACGGGTCGATGACATCACTTAAGAGAACACAGCTGAATCTGCAATGCAATTTACATTTAATATTTACTTTAAGGAAGATTTTATTATCTGCACTATGTTTCTAGCAATCAAATACCATTTGAATTCAAGCAAAAGAAACTTGCTGCTTTTAGATAAAACTCCAATTTGGCAATATAAGTATAAAATGAGTTTACATGAGCAATATATCCCAAAGTGTTATATGGGGGAACAGGAATAGGTGTGTGCATATGTGTGTGTGCATGTTACAGCATGTTCCCTCCAGCAGTACATTACAATGAGGGGCTATCAATTCTTAAGATACTGGAGAATAAAGCCCCACTTTTTTTTATACTTGTAGCTGCACATATGGAATTTAACCTGTCTGCTCTTTCAGAGTCAGTCAGGGCAATGAAAGATGCCGGAGGAACTGGAAGAGGGATATTAGTCCCACTAGTTTGCAGTGAGGAGAAGAATTAACATTGTCCTCAACCTTACATTCTTCTCTTCCCAGCTGCTTGCCTCTCTCTTGCCAATACACCATCTGTCCTCTCTCACCTTTTTCCTGTACGGTTGTCTTCTACACTGTTGATTCTCTCTTCCTAATCTCCATTGCACGCGTTATTTTTCTTCTGTTTTTCACCTTCGTTATTTTTTTCTTTCTCCTTCCTCTCATGGTTCCTCCTACTCCTTTCCACTTGCTCCCTTTCCTTCCTTCCTTATCAGTACCCAGAACCCACAGCTCCTAAGAGAAATGGGAGAAAATTTTAGACCATTTCAGACCATATTACAGAAGCCACCTTCTGAGCAGGAAGGTCTTTTTGCCTATACCACAGCTCCTAAAGGGAAGCAATGGCTTCACTGCTGGCTTGCACATCCCACCTAGGTGAAGCCTAAGAGCTGCACTGCAAGGGAGCAGGACAGACAAGCAGGGAAGTTCAGAGAACAGCATTTATGAGGTTGTTCCTAGGGCAAGATCCTGACAAAGGTCTCTGAGCGCTAGCGCAAAATCTGTTTTAATCATTTTGATGTTTCAGCTCTGCAGAGGAATCAAGAAGGTTTCAGCTCCAGGAGATCCCTCGGCTGCCTCAGGTTAAAGTACAGGCAGCACTTTCTTCATACGCGCTTGAAACCAAGAGCTTTGCTAAGTATGGTGCGTGCTGTCTCACTTCAACCTGACGATAGGCCTGAAGTCCGGTCAGCTGGCAGTTCCCACTCTTGGCCACTTACCGCCTCTGTGTAACGTCCAACAAGAGGGAAACTGACAGTCTATCAGAAGACAGAGACCAGAGAAGGACGACAAACGCAGCTCTTAAGGGATCGGCAACATCTCCTTGCCACAAAGAGCACAGCAAGATCAGAAAACGCACAGCAGGAACCCAGCCCCGCTATCTCTGTACTTCTGACAGATCCTGTCACACCAGTGCTGGGGATCTGCCCAGAATCAACCAGCAACTGAATAACCCCAGAGGAGCATTTTTCACCTTTTGCTTTCTTCTGCACACACATTTTACTCTGATAAATTGTTTCTACACCGTTAATGACAACCCTGGTTAGGAGAAATCCTGTCAGTAGCAGGACATGATAGACCTCATCAGGGCAAAAGCGAAGCAGTGCCACGTTGGTCTCCTGCAGACACAGGCTGGAACAACCAGCCCTGCAGAGAAGTTCACGTGAAAAAACCAAGGAAGCGCAAGAGTGGTCTGAGAACCAATTCTGCAGATGCAGCAAGGACGAGTTCTTTCACTCCTCCTAGTGTCTCTGGAAGCTGACAGCCCTCAGCATTTTGGAGGACTGGCAGAGTTGGGGCTGCAAGGATCTAGCGTTTTCTTAAGACTGTAAACATCCTTAAATTCTGGAATTTGAATCTTTGTCAAGGCAGCAAGTGTGCTTAGTGCCTAGAAGAAGCTAAGACTCCTCCGTACCTTTGCTACCCAGCAATATTTCTTTTAACATGCCAATTAGATCTCAAAAAAATGTTCTTCCATAGCTCTGGACAGTTTCCTGGCAATTCTTATTTACAAGACATTTACCTAGAGAACCCCTGTGTAGACCGGGAAACAAACTGTCTGCAGTTTAGGAGGTCTTTCTTATCTCTTATTTTTATAGTTGGTTTTGTCTGTGTTTTGTCTTCCTTTGTCCTCTTCTGTCCCTTAAACACAGGTAGCGTCCAGGCAGCAGAGATGATGTTGGACTTGACTATGAAGTAAATGCTGTTACTTATATAAAATTCTACCAACCTCTCCCTCCCTGTGATATTTGATATCTAGTGTCTGTTCAAACCTAGAGCCATAAAACCATGTGCGTTGAATGACAGCACACAGAAATTTGTACAAATTGAGATCAGTGCCATTGTTTTGGGCTAATTCACTACCAGATTACTAGCTTGACACATTCAGCTGATCTTTCTTTGCTTTTACGCTACAGTGTAATACGCTGTCCTATATGTCAGTCTTAACTCATCTAAGTCTAGTGGTAAAGCTGCTTAAACTGAACTTCCTTTCACCACACAGCCGGAGAGCTCCAGAAGCAAACGTCTTTTAAGACTTCAGCTTAGTACACTGAAGAGTATACACTACTGTCTTGACTTCAGTTCTGAATGCATAACAGAGCAAGAGCAGAGCACCAGACAGTCGAACTAACCCAGCAGCAAGAGACTTGCAAAGCACTGAGCACCAGCATTCACAGGGGTTTATCCCGCTCATGGCTCAGACACATGCAGTGTTACCCACATTGTAAAGAGACTCCCCCAACCTGGCATGCAGATTCTCTTACAGGTAGTAAAGGACATTTGAATTTTATAATTATAATTACTTGATATATATATCACACTGAAATTCTAGAGTAAAAAAAGAATAGCCAAAGCCTTACACTGGAAACACCAGAAAAGAAACAACAGACCAAGGTTACATTCTGGGTGGTTATTTAGCTCACAGCAACACAGAGTCTTCTAACAGCTTGATAGGTCTACAAAAGTAGTCCAGCAACTGCACTTCCCACGCTGCATCAGAACTTAGCATGAAGGCAATACAGCCGCACTTTGCATGCACTGATCACATCACGGCTCTGCAGAGCGAACGTACTCACCACCTCCTTCATCGCTCGGAGGAGACTCTTCTCTTCTGTCCTCCGCTTCCATCACACTGCTCTCCAAAGACACTAGGACATCTTCTTCCCCATATTCCTTTGTGTTACTTTCTACAGACCCAGCTGGTTTGAGCTCCCCATTAACTTCAGGACCTTGATGCTGTATTGCCATTATATTTTCATGAAAAATTTCAGTGTTTTCCCTTGCTGCTACATCTTCTGTTTCTGTCTTTTCTGCTTCATCTGTTCCTTTCTTTTCCAGTGCAAAAGTTTCCAGGTCATCCTCCATTGTGAGCAGTTTATTCTCCCCGTTCTCATTTCCATAACGGGTGTGAGCTGTGTTATCAGATGCCCTTTCGATATCATACTCCTCGTTGCCCTTAACATCGTCTTTGGTCTTTCCAGCAGAGTCATCTTCACTGCTATACAGAGTACTCATGGATGAGAGAGAGCGTGCAGACCTCCTCTCTAGAAGTAGCAAACAATTTCTTTTTAATATTTGTCACTAAAACATGTGCATTCATTGCCTGCTAATTCATTTTACTATGCACAAAGGGACAGATCCTCATCTAATATCAACCTCTGAACTACACCATCTGAAGGACATGATGGCAAAGTTCCAATAATCATACATAGAAGCACATTGCCCAAATGCGTTGAAGTCTTAAAATCAAAGCCATTTAACTTTTTCTTCTGATAATGGAAATGAATTCCATTAGCTCCACCAATCACACACCAGTGTGTTTCCAGAACCACCTCTACTATGACTAAGAAGGGTTTTAGGATTGTTTCATGAGCTCTGTTTCACAAAGGATGTCAACAATAACAATAATCCTTTAGCGCCCTCCTATTATATCAGTGAATGGCATAAAGATCTGTAAAATCATGTGTAAAACACAGAAGGTGAATTGGGAAGGGAGTTCACTCTCCTCTAATAAAAGATTTGGGGAGCATAATATAAAATTTATAAATGGAAAATCTGAGGAAAAAATAAATCTTCAGTGATAATTCTTCATACAGCATTTTGCAAAACAGTGGAACTTACTGCTGCAGGACAGTGGAGGTGTCCAAAGTCCATACGGATTCAAAAGATTAGTCAAACTCAAGGAAGAAAAATCCACTTAGGCCTCGTAAGTGTAAAGAGGTCACACATGAGACCAGCTAAGTCCAGGGGTAGGAAAACACAGCGGGGAAGCAGCACAGTAGCACTGCCCTTTTCTAACACATTCCCCTAAGCACCTGCCACTGGCCAAAGGCCAGAGACAGACCACGGACCTCTGGTCTGTCCCCGAACAGCTGCGGTGTTCTCACAGAGCCAACAGGTGCAATTATTCCTTCCTGCAACCAGTTTTTTAGCAGCCGCTGTGCAACTTCTTCCTTTGCATGTGTGAGAAAGATTCACTGCAGTGGCTGATAGTATTTTAAATTATCCTTTTCATCTGCAATGTGTTATGAAAATTTTGCAAGACTGCTTTTAAAAAAAAAAAAAAAACACACACACACTCAAATATAGGAGTGAGTAATTTCCCAAAATATGTTGACTACTCCCATTAACTTCAAAGCAAGAACTAAGAAAGGGTATTTGAATGGAAACTATAATCCTAAATTAGTGGAGTGCCTTGTATAGATGCCAGGCTATCATTTCAAGCAAACTCTTCAGTTTTCCTCAGAAGTAGCAAAGAAAAAGCAACAGAGTGCAACTCCACTCCTCGCGTGCCTTCACACTGTTGTGAGGAAGCCACCTGCCCCTCTGGGAAGGTTATTCCGGCACATGCAGACTCCAACTCCATCATCTTTAAAGAGATGGATAGCTAAGAAAATGAGCGGTACCAAGTGTGACGTGGAGGTATATCCTCTAGGATCTTTACTGCAATATATTTCAGGCACAAACTAATGAAAAGCCACCATCTGGTAATGGCTTCCAGTCATTTCCAGTCTTGAGCTGAACCCGTGATCTAAAGGCAGATACGTTTAGACTCCCTTGAGCCCGCAGGCTCCCAGAAGGTATCGTTATTCCTAGAGACACTTTTTAAGAATATAAACAAGCAAGTTCAGGGAGAAAACAGTTCATACATGCAGTTTACATATTGTACTATGGGAATTGTCATGATTCTTTTCAATTCATTCACAAGCTTATGGTCCACAAGGGTTTGCATGCCCATGTCTCTCTTACACGCTCTTTATTTGTGTATGATTCATAATGTTTGCATGCAAAAGTAATATCTTTGCCTCCTCAGGTATCTGAATATTTTTCTAGAACTCTGTGTGCTGGATGGAACTGTAGGTAACAGAGTTAAGAACGAACACACCTTTGTTATGCTCTGGAAGCAGAGAGAAAATGAGTTACTTATCACTAGCATGATAACCCAGTAAAGTTCCCCACAAAGACTGATCTCACCTGATCAGAACAGTGAACGTTTGTGTTGACCAACTGCAGGAGACATCTTAAACGGTTTATTTAAAATAGGAAGTGACTCAACCTTGATTACACCAAGTAGAAAAGTGCATTGAGCACATCGTGGCTGCGTTCATGTGCGCTGCACATGACTCCGTCCGTAGATGCAAGACGGATTTGCACCTGAAAGGAACTCCTCATGCGCTAAAGTGCTAATGTAGTAACCCCCTATTCACACGAGCCCTGCTGCTAACGCCAGACGCTGCGCTACCGAGTGCCTGACTCCGACAGACTCCTGCTCTGCAGACCACAAAGCCCTCATCTCAGCGGGGCATCGCATTCAGTACTGAAAAACAGACAGTCAGAGAACTTCACTCACATGGGGCACTCATGCAAACAGGAGAAGAGAAGCCCATCTCATAACTTCAGCTTCCACCTCTGTACCATCAGTATGCCAGAACTGTAACCTGTGCAAAACAGCACGGTCCCATCCAAAAAGGTCGTATAACCACAGTTTAAAGAATCCCTATCAGAGTGTCAATCCTCCACCACGAGGTAATTCAGCGGGCTGAGGAAGGAATTGCCTCTACAGAGGCTGCCGAAGACAGCATACTAATTTCCAGATCTCTGGCACAACAAGATGCATTAATAAAGAGGCAATTCAGGTAAGTGCAAAAGAGGTGGACATTAGAAGAGTTACATGTATTCAATTACAAGAAAAAAAAATCTAAATATTTAGGATTGGGGCAAATAATGACTCAGGCAGAGGATACACTGTCTTGGAGAATTCGTAAATGTAAACATAAAGAAGGGAGAGGAACTGCTTAAGAATGTGCAAAAATGCATAACCAAAATGTTGGAGTTAAATTAAGAAAAAAATTAATAATAAATATCCAAAAAAATCTTCCATTGTTCACATCTTTTAGATACTTTACTAATCTCCTAAAAGAAACAATGAAACTAGTGATGACTACTAAAAATTCTTGAAATATTTCCATGCAGACTATTTTTGGACAGAAAGGGTTCTTCAGTCAAACAGAAACCTCTTTATCCTCAAAATTACCAACAAATTCTTAATAGCGTTAATTCTTATTTCTCAGAAAACCATTGCTACATTTCAGTAGGAAAAACTTGCATCTTTTTCATCACTTCCCTCCACCTCTTTTGTTCAACGGTGAGAACAAAAAGTAGAAAGTTTTCATTACCAAGGAAAAAAGACCAAAAATTAACCAAAAGAAAGATAACAGGAAAGAAAAATCACAGGCATTTTGTATTAATTTTTTTAAATGGTGGAATATATATATTTTTTTCCTTTTACATGGTTGTAATAAATTTATTTTAACTCATTTTAATTATCGGGATAATATTAACTACCAAGCGATGTCCGGCTTTGTATAATGGATTATCTACTACAAAATGTTTGGTTGAATTTCTGCCATGTAGAATATAAGCATTTAGAGCAAAAGGCCTTAAACTCACTTTTTTTTAAATTTTAATTATAGAGTTTCAATAATGTTATATAGATAGAACTAAGGGCAAAAAGGGACTCAGTATGTTTCCTGTAACATAAAAAACATGTTGTTTCTGTTCCTCTTCCAACTTCAGCCTTTTCTGTGTATTTCTACATGTATTAGGGGTTTGGGTCTGTCTCTTATTATGCAGCTCTTGCTCATTCCACTCTTCGTACCAGCCCTCCGAACAGTACATACCCTCTGTCGATACCACTTTCTTGCCCATAGGTGCTTATATCACATCCTGCTGACAATCACAGTATACTCTCAGGGGGGGTATCAATGCCTGGAGTCATTAAATAAAAGCACTGTCCGAAAAAAGTTATTTTCCTTAACGGACTAAAAACACGTCTCATGCACTATTCCTGAGGGAGATTCTCCTTTTCTTACCATCTTGCAGTATTGTATCTTCTCCATGATGGATAACACAAATGCATTCACCAAATAAGTCACTTCCCATTGTTAGAGAGCAGGTGAAATTTTCCATACTTTTCACAAATCCACCATGTGTTGTAACTTCTTGCCTTCATGGGGCACATGTCATCAAGACCACTCTTAACATCAAATAATCAAAGCTGGATAGTTAATCAGGTGTCACAGAAAGGACTAACTAATGCCCTGATTGGTAATAAAAATATCAACTTCTATTATGTATTGTTCCAGCAGAATCTCATAGATTGGAAAAGTCACCTCTTTTCCAGCATTCACTTCCAATAAACACAGCATTTCGCTTCAACAGCAAAAGAGCTCTACTTCAGCAAACTAACTGGCTCTGTAAGAAACACACGTTGCACGGAGAACCTGGAGAGAACTAGCTGAGGACTCCAATACCATCAAGTAAAGAGACATTTGGGATACGACAAACCTTTCCAACTAACTTTCTATTCAAACAGAAGGGAATGCCCAGCACCGGTTTGCATTGCACTGCAGTGATACTTGTGCACAGATTTTGTGCAAGCACATAGAAGTAGGTATCAACTGATTTCTGAAATTTCTACCACTTTGAGTGTAGAAATCTATTTGAACATTAATCACTACAGCCAGAACAAAAAGATCATCCTGACCTTCACATTTAAATCCAAAGCCCCTAGAAATCCAAAACATTCCAGTGATCTGAAATGTCACCTAAAGCTAGCAGTAACCTTAACAATCTTATCTAATGTTGCAGTTCATCATGCACTAGTGCTAAGTAAGAACTACAGAACTCCTTCAGGCTTCCCACCGGAGGATACACACCCTCGAAGCATTGTTCTTCCTGTTGACAGTCACTTCCATCTGCAGAGAACAGTCAAACAGAACTTGGAGCACAGAACAGATGCAGTCACAACATAAACAACTATCACAAAAAATGGTCTTCCCCCAGTATCCCTAGCTCCTAATCTATGCCTCTTCCATGATTTATTGTATTTATACACTTAAGACTTTTAAAGCCCCCTTACGGTCCCCATCCAATATTTGAGTACTATTCCTATACTAAAATATACAAATGGCAAATTAGAACATTGCCTACGTCCTCCTAACATCCTCAGCAAACGTTATGGGCATAATGAGGTAAAGCCAATATCTCTTGTCTCCTTTCACTAAAAGTCACGATGAGAAAGTTAAGAACTCAAAGCTCATGTGGACAAAAGGGGAAACGGATTCCAAGCCATGAGCTTCTCAAGAAGCACCTTTCTAAACAGCTTCCCTTCATTTCCATGGAGAGACACTGCTAAGTTTCTGACACTCAGGGGCCATTACTCGCTGCCAAATGAGCTGAAATGATAACCGGTAACCCCTGTATTAGTGTGCTGATGTAAAAGAGAGAAGCAGCAAATCAGGCTGCTAAGAAAAAAGACTAAAACTGTCTTATTTGAAACCACAGAAAATGCAAAGGGTTTAAACACATGTCCTGAGCTGCTGCAGTAGAGGAGAACAAAGCAAGCCATGGCAAGTACATCTGATATACATTCTCAGTGCGTGTCCAGTGATGGGTTAGGAACCACTGCCTAGATGGCTAGCGGTTTAACATTTATTAATTTAAATTAATTATATATTTTAATTAATGATATTAATTAAATATCCCTATTTCATGATTTGGTGGTTTCCCAACAGCCTTTTCTCTTCAGCATAGAAAAAATTATATCGAGTTATTGAGCTATGGTGACTTGCAGCATCATTACATCCCAGTAAAAACAAAGGGGAAAAGGGTCGCCCTTAATGAAGGTCCTTCGTGTACAGGCAGCCACAAAAGGCCCTTACAGTTACTTATTAATTAAATATCCCTATTTCATGATTTGGTGGTTTCCCAACAGCCTTTTCTCTTCAGCATAGAAAAAATTATATCGAGTTATTGAGCTATGGTGACTTGCAGCATCATTACATCCCAGTAAAAACAAAGGGGAAAAGGGTCGCCCTTAATGAAGGTCCTTCGTGTACAGGCAGCCACAAAAGGCCCTTACAGTTACTTGTTTCTTTCCACCTATAAACACATATGCATCCACACACTTCCACTTGATTATCACACACTGCTACAGCTTGATAAGCAGCTGATTAAAACCACAAAAATGATAGTGCCATAAGAAAAGAATGCTTAATTGTACTGATTATTCACGAATCACAAATAAACTATTTTTGATTACCATTAGAAAAGAAAAATTAGATTTTTTTTGATCACTGTAATGATTTTATAGGTAAAAATGTTTCAAACCTGGTTTGAATTTCTGTTGTATTTTATACTTTCTATAAAAAGCCTGGATCTTTCTTGCAGCTGCAACTTTTTCACAAACAGCTGTTTTACCTTTGCAAATTTCACCTAGAAACATAAATGTGAAAGTAACGTTTACATTTCATTTGAGAAACAGCTTGCACATTAGGACTGTCAAATGTAAGAAATATAAATGAGTTCATTTTAAAACAGCAATAAATGGAGAAATCCTGGTATATTATAACAAGCAACAGGCACATAAGCCAGCTCAGAATCTAATGGAACAGTAGAGGAGAAACATTAGAGAGCAGTAAAGCACTTCACCACGAAGAAGAGACAAGCCAAAACATAGGCAGTTCATTTTCTGCTCTTCCACCATGTTCTGGAATTCTCTTATTGTTTGTTTAATAAATGTGAAATTGCCTGCAGGTTTCCTATTGGATTTTTTATGAATATTTGCTGCTGGGAATATGTGAAGGCCAACAGTTAGAACATTAAGCATTAAAAGTGCTGATTCAGGAAACTGAAGGGACAGAAAATGTTATTTGTCCTACAGAAATTCATTCCAGAACAGCATAATCTTTCTGGATTAATAATAGTTGTCCCACACACTTCATACTTTTGTACTTGCATTTGGAACAAGAAAACACAGCCTGTCGTACTGGCTCAGACTCTTAACCTATTCACTGCCAGACTGGAACTGGGACACTCAAAAACTTCCTGACTGCTGCAAGTAGAACGGACAGATGAGTAGATTCCATTTTCCTCTCTGAACCACAAATGAGTGAATGATCTAGCAGGGTATAAAGTTATGGCTATGACTATTTGGGGTCATGAAAGATCTATTAAAGATAGCACTTAGGCAAAACAAGATATTATTCTGGGTTTCCTGACAATTTCTCAAATGAAAGTGCACTCCTCAGAACGTGTAAATGGTCATGACTTCATGGATGTCAGTGACCACTGACATTACCGTTGCCCCAAGTATTTACAGCTAATTTGCCTACTAGCTACTTTTCCATTTCTGCAACTGAACAGTTCAGCAATGTCTGCTGTAAGCTGCGACGCATGCTTATGTTGCCCAATGAATTTGGCTGTATTTCAGTGACGGATGGCAGAATCAATAAACACACTTACAATAGTATCTTTTACCAATTCAGTTGCCATTGCATGATTTTTCTTTGTCCTTTACCTAGTTTACACATCATAATAGCTCTGCAGGACAAAATTAATATCTATGTTCCCCCAAACGAAGCCACCAGGACACTGTAAAATGTCACAAGGTTGTAATAAAGATGTCCACCTAATCCTCCCCCTTTCTTCTCACCCACCTGAGGAGTATCACTATTGCAGCTGAGAGACACATGAAGCTCTACTGGCTCAACAAATACAATAGGGAAGGGCAGAAAGGCTGCGTCTCAGCCAGAGGTACAGCAAAAGAGCTGACTTGTGCCTTCTCTTCCCAATTACCCCTAAAAGTGGCTGCTGTACAGCCAGGGATCTTTAAGGCAGCAGAAAAATCCCACTGTCTGGACTGTGCAACAAACACAAAGTGTCTGGATATGTCGTGACAGCTAATACCCACAGCATCACTTCCATGACACTAGAAGTGTAATACAAATATAGAGTCAACATACATTACTGGACATGCACAAAATGTAAAGCATGCATCAGGTTGACTGCTATAAGCCTTGGTACAAAAAAAAGCTAACCTTGGTTATCATCCTCTGAGTCACTATCAGAATATCCATCATTTTCTTCTTTCTCACTATCAGAGGCCTGCAGCGCCTTCTGTGAGGAGTTTCTACTCTCTTTTTCATGATCTAAATTATCTTTTTCATCATCTGAGGATGACTTTGACGTTCTGTTCGTTTGATCACCAGTCTGTCCTTCTTCATTAACTTCTTCATCTGCTTCAAAATCTTCATCATAGTCTAAAATAAAAGGAGAATTGTACTGCGAGACAGAAAATAGAATTCACAACTGCTGAAGTTCTTTTTATAAGCAGACAGAGGCTGACTTCATTAATCTCCTTTCCTCTTTGTATTTGCTCACTTTTTTTTTTTTTTAAAGCCAGGAGAGTCTAAGACCACAGGTAGGAATTGTAAGATCATATTATCATTAAAAAGCATCATGTTCCTCATAAAGAGAGCAGCAAAAATGCAATAAAGCTACTGAGTGATGCGGTAAGTATCATTAATACATAAAAAACAAAATGAAAAAAGATCATTAGCCACTGCAAGGACTAGAAAAATAAAAAGATGAGTTATGCAAACTCAGAAGTGAAAGACAGACTCTTATTACAGGGAAATAAATTGCTGCAATGAGAAAAAAATATACAAGCAATAAAGCTGTAGAAAGGTAGTATGCTGTAGCGCAAAGTAAGACAAATGTGGATTGACAAGGCCAATTAGCAAAGAAGTAGCTTGCAAACTAAATTAATTAATTAAATCCAATCCAAGGGCACTGCAGGGGAACATTCTGATTACAATACAGTTCAAACGTGCATGCAGTTCCCAGGTGAAATCCTGTTACAAATGAAACTTAGCGTAGAATTACCATTTTTACACCAACGGGGCCTGGATTTCATCCCAGGCTACTACCCTGACAAGTTGACAGGTTGTAACATGCGATAGATAACTTTGCTCACACTTATAGTTAAAAGCATTTCTTCATGCACATACATTAAATAATCCTTCCCTTTCCGGCCAAGGCTGCAGTATTTAAATCCCAGACACCAGAATGTAGAGCGATGCCAGTACGTTTCCATTTAAAATTCAGTAGTTTCACTGCCACCCATAGTTCACTGCACATGCAGCAGAGAGATAATAAACCTAAACTGCGAAGGAGAACTGCCACTGCTGACAAGCTAGCTGTCCCTCTTGGCCATAATTTCTCACCTTGCAGATCTAACTGCTCACCTCTTTCCTTCCATCAATACTTTTAAAGTGCTGAAGTGACAGAATGCCAAGCAGAGATGTGAAGAGCATCTGACGCAGAACCAATTAGGCACATAACAATTACCCAGACAATGAGAATTAAGAGAATAAGTAGATTTATCTTCTGCATTAAAAACCAATTGACATTCCAACTGCTTGTTGGAAGTGGGGCCTCCTTCGGTAACTGTCAGAAGGATGCCCACCTCCTGCAAGTGAAAAGCCTTGATTAATCACAAACACACATGCACAGGGACCAACAAAGAAGCTGTGCCATAGCGCTACAGAATCACGAAAGTAAAAATAGTTATTGGAAGCAGGAACAAAAATCTCTGTAAGAACAACTTACTCTGAAAATACTTTTAAAAAGAAGTGAGTGAAAGAACAGGCAGCGCTGTCTCCTCTTCCTTTAGGAGCAGGCAGGTGCGTAACAGATGGATGACAAAAGGGACTGGGGAAAACGGCACGTTCTGAGCATGAGGCTGGAGCTACAGCACGTCATTTTTATATCACAAGCATTATCTTTGTCTGCCACAAGAAACACTCCTTGGGCAAACTTCTGGCAAGTGCAGCCTCTTTCTGGCCTTTTTTTTCAAATCCCCGTCAACAGAAATTAGACAGGACTCAAGCAAAAAGGCAAGGTCAGCCAGCCACAGCATTAGGCGAAGGGAAAGGAAAATTCCCTGCCAGCAGCGGAAAGGCAGAGAAAGCAAGAAAGGTGAGCTGGGAGACCTGGAGCAGAGGGGATGAAGAGCTGGAAAAGTGAGGAAGCTGGAGGTCAGGGTGGGTTCAGGTAGGAGGTGCTCGGGGCAGTCTGGCAGAGAGGTGACCTTAAGTGAACAAAGCAGTTCATTCCCACCGGCAACAGAGAGGAGAAAATACCAAAATATTTAATCTGGCTCTAAATTCTGCTGACATTTTACTGCTATGCGCTCTTTCCACCTTCCCTCCCCTTCCACGCCCAATGTACAGCTTCCTCCACTCTACCATTCCTCCCTCCAGCTGTCTGGAGCCAGATAGCAGGAGGCGTTTCCATCTACTGCCCCCATGACTGCTGTCTTCTCTCCGTTTACCTTATGCTGGTATCTTGTTTCCTACAGGAGCTCCCTCCTTCCACTCTACCTATCTCCATCTCCTGCTGTTGTCCTTCCTCACAGTTGTCCTGCCACTTTCCTGCTGCTTTCCCATCTACCTCAGGCTCCTGTTTCAGCCTCTCCATCCTTCCTTATACGCTTGTTGGCTCCTGCAAAACCCTCTCCTCTTGTTGCTTGGTTGAAAGGAGCTCCACTAAGTTTATTGCCTAGAAACAGCCATAAGCCTCTGAATCGTCTTCACCATGCTTCTCACACGAGGTATCTCAAGGGAGGATAGCTCCTAATGAAGCTGGAAGCCCACAATCCCATACCATCTCCCCAATTCTCCTCTCCCATTTTTCATCCCGTGTTTGTGCTTTGGAATACTGTACCATTTTTACCAGTGTCTTTCTGACTATCTTGAGTCTCACGATCAGACAGTTCTTTCATTTCTTCTCTTCTGTAGTCCTCTTCTGTCTCCATTTTGTCCTCCATAGGTGCCACACTTGCTCCATAACCTGATAAAATGACTAGCACTGAATCTTTGCCTATTTTCTGCTCAGCATTGCTTTCACTCAGCTCCCTGTGCACTCCATCTCTCAGAGAACCCGCTTGCTTTTCATGGTCCTCCTCCACCTTTCTCTTGGGAGGGGAAGGCTTTTTGTCCAGGCCCATTGCAATAATGCACCTACAAAAAAACAAGGAGAATTGGAAAGCATCAAATTTTTCTTTCAGTGAACCACGGAAGGGCTATAGATGCAGTCAGCAATTCATCTCGTTGTCCAAGGTGAAATTAGGTGCATGCCTGCGCCTCAGCTCCACCACTCAGACAACAAGGACTCTGATAAGCTGCTTCTCAGCGTGAGAAGCACCCAAAAATCCTGAAATGCTCCACAAACACAGACGCAGTTCCCCCTTGAAAGAGAATATGGCTGTCCCACTGAAAGGTGGCAAGTGACATATAAATAGATGAAAACCAAAATTATCAAAGTGTCTATTAATTTCAAGCCACACCAGGCTTGATCTGTGACAATATTAATCACTGAGAAATATAAACAGGCTCCAAGTCTGGGGCGACTTGGATATAGATCCTGCTGTAACATCGAGTAAAGTGATGACTCAGGTTTTGTAAATAAGCCTTTTTTCAGTTTGTCTGTTGGGTCAAATAACTGTCAGGGCAGGGGGACTGAATTTGGATTGATTTTCAATTTCTGTTCTGTTTTGTTCGTTTTTTTCCTCACCTAGCAGAAACCCAAACAATTGCAAAACAAAGCACTTAGAATGACTTGCAGATACTGCTCCTCTCGTATAACATGGAGCAATAGACTCTTTAGCTGATGCGTAGGATGCTCACGTAAGAGGCCAGACTTTCTACTCTGGATATAATGTTAACTGCAGACATTAAGAGCCCCTCTGCGCCATCTCGGACTGTCAGCACATCTCCGACTGTGCTGTAACGTGCTGATTCAAAACTCCTGCAGGCAGAGGAGGGAACTGAAACTGGAACTCTCACAGAAAAATTAAACTGCTTTACTCCTAGTCACAAGTTTTGGTCGGAAACCGTATTTTCTTCACAGACCACTACAGCCTAAAAACTTTTCCTTCCCCAAAGTTGTTTTTCATACATAAAGCTTCAGTGCAATCCCCTCACACTGCCCTTCTCTGCAGCTGTTCACAAACTACTGTGAAAAAGTCCTAAAATTATTCAGTCTAAAAATCTTTCAGTTTTGCAGGCACAAAAAGTTAAGTGTAACAATTTTGGAAAGGAGACCTACTCCCTCAATTATTTTTTCCCCAGTATTTTTTTCAGCAATCCTCGAGATACTGAAACATTTCTATGGTGCAGAAATACTAGACTTAGCCAGCAGAAAACTCTGCGCAGGGATCGTAGCATCTGTGTAAAAATCACTGCAGTATCATCACTTCTGTGTGAATCGAAGCCTTAACCCACCAAGGAAAAGTCAGTTTGGGTCTTTACTGAGAATCAGACTGGGTGTTTAAAGCGTGGACATGAAATCACACTCAAAACAGAAAATAAATACAATTGCATTGGACTTGAAGAAGATGTGAAAATAGTTTTCATTTCTGGGGGGAATCTGGCTAAAGGAGATGTTTTTAGTCAATAGATAATGTCAGCTGGACTGAAGGGAGACAGGATGACAGAGACAGATATCACTAAGCCTACGAGGGCAGGAGGTGCCAGGGAGGAGGCTATCCAGTGAGTAATTACCTGAACCGATTTCAGGAGACGGTATTAATTCAGAAAAAGGTAGCACTTTAGCTCTTTCTAGAAATTGCAGAAAAGCCGAGACTTGGGCATTTCCTAAACACTGTAGCCACTATATGGATTCTGAATTTGGATGCTTTTCACTACTAAAAAAATACTAAGCAATACATGTATATAAATCATGTTTAATGTTAGTTTGAAGTAGAAAAAATATGGTACAGTACAGCAGAATTTTTTTTCCTCAGAATTCAGTCCCTATCTAAAAAATAAGCATGGGGCTGGCGGGGGGGGGGGGGGGGGGCTCTTCTCCCCGTCTTCATGCAACTGTTTGTTACTGTTTTAAAAATTACTAAGGACAAGATTAAAGACATTTTAAAACTATCCATAGGTGCAAAAGTTTTCTTGTCCAACATGACTTTGAAAATCATGCAGAAACAAGATTTTAGTAAAATTAAAGTTTCTTGGCAAAAATTGCAGCTGTTGATCACAGCACTGACTTTTGCCCCAAAAAGAGAATGGAACCCTGCTGCTCAGGTTTGCCGTCTGAAACGTGGCAACATCCCTTACTGCAGGCAGGGATATTGCACCTTAGAGGCAGAACTGTTTAAATAAAAAAAAAAAAAATCTGGTTTTCACAGTCACAAAGGAAACCCTGAGAACTACAGTTAACTAAACAGCACTCTCGGTATTTGTTGCGCTATCACTTCCACCAGAAGCATCCAGGTGGCATATTTACACCACCCCACATGTATTTCTCAGGCCTCTGTTGTTGATGAGTAACTGACAGCCTCCTGACCACCTGAAACACCAAGCACGATGATGCGAACATACGCTGTCAGTTCCAAATGCCTGTGCCTGCTGCAGCGAACGGCTGAAGAGGCAGCCCAGAAGTCAGGTGACTTTGATGGCATCCTTGGATGCGGGACTCTGCACGAGAAGCCCCACTCTGCAGATGTTTCAAGGGATGCCCAGAAACAGACCAGGTTCTACACAGCAGTGGGGTGCCAGAAAGATTTTAAAAAGCAGAACAAAGTGATAAATACTCTAAAAACTGTGCTGCTAGGACTTTGTGAGCAAAGTGCACTCTGTCTGCATACCTATAACAAGGAGACGCTCTCTCCACATTGAGAAAACCAAAGTATCCGCGTCTGCCTCCCAGCCTGGAACGCTTCTGATGTTTGTACTCACAGCAAGAGCTCAACCTGTCCACCTGCATCCCATTGAGAAAAAAGGTGAGGCTGAATGGGAAACCACGGTGCCTTTTTGAGATGAACTGAAAGGTCTCTGTAATTGAAAAAAGGAAAGGTTTCAAAGGAAAAGGTTATGCTTTACTGTCAGCCTGTTGCATTTATTGCATCTCATCTCCACTGCATCATCTCCAAAGCACCCATGCCACTGAGATCAGGTCCTGTCGGTCCTGAGGTCAGTCTTCCCAGCTGTATTAATTAGGTTGTAAAGCTCTACCTCTTCCATGCACAACATCCTTTTCTCTTTTTCCAGCCCAGGAGTACCAAGCTGGACACACTTGCAACACGTTCAAACATTATCGGTTCGGCCTTTCACTGCAACAGCAGCAACAGAACCAAAAAACCTGGACTCTGCCTCTTGCCTTATAAGGGCCCTGAGGTTGCCACCCTGCTCCATACCAGGAGGGAACCAGGTTGTACTCCCTTTCGCCACAAATCCTGGTGCCCCTCCAGAGTGAACTGGACACACAAGGAGGGAGAAAGCGAGGCTGTACTCCCACAGGTTCCCTGCTAGGGGTGGATGGGGATCAGGACAGCAGCAGCATGCACAAAGGCCACCTTCCCCACAGCTGGGGGCAGCTGCAATGCCAGTCTTTGAACCAGCGCGACGGGCACCCGATGGCACATCCACACATCCATAACCTGAGGGGACAGACTGAAGCGCAGGATCTCTGTACCACTTTCCCGCATTCAGTGAGAGTGCAAATGCCAAATACGGTGGGTTCTGAGAGCTGGAACGAGGGATGTAAAGGATCACTCTACCTTATAAATGAAAATCTCCTAGCCACCTCCCACTCCTTTTCCTGATCCCAGTTTCCCAGAACACAGCTCTCCTTTTACTGATGATATAGGCCAGCATGGGTAACCCTAGAGGAACAGACGGAGTCACACAGAAGTAAAAAGGGGTGAGAACTGGGCCCCCACTAAGTAGCTTTCCTTCTGTGATAACAAAGAGCATGTGCTGATGTATTACAGCAAGTCAGAAACGGATAACTTGTATTCAGAGACAGTTTACTATTGCAAACATTTTATTAACCATACAACTCTATCCAACAGTACTCTAACCCCCAGTATTTTGTTAAATCACTCCTCTAAATCCCCTCTTCCATAATTTGCAAAACTACTTACAAATCTCATTTTCAATCACAAAACAGTAAATTTAGATTTTGTTTGGAGGCAGCTGGTGTAAGAGTCCCTGAATGCCCATGACTTGACTGATCACTTTGACATTACACCAACACGTTAGCCATGAAAGAAGATGTTGCCAGATTCAAGATAAGCTCTTCAACGCTTTATCCTTACCTCCTTCCAAGAGCTTGCCTTTGTAGACACAAAGGTTTTCTCCTCCACAGTGCTGCTGATAGACTTTGATTTCATCTCTGTAATCAGTATCATCATGAGATAAATGCACGCTTTTTCCTAAAAAGATCATGGTAACAAATGCGTTGCTGCGTAATGAGGGCTTATGGAATTTTCCAGAACTCTACAGCAGGAAATACACAGAAAAACGCATTCAGCTTCCAACTCCTAACAGAAGGTGAACACAAAGATCGTATTTCTAATAAGCCTTAATTTACTTCATCTCTCACTGCATTTAGCACAATTGAATATCAAATAGATCAAAAATAACTAACAAATCTTTAGCCGCAGGTCAGCCCTTTTTGGCTGCTCTCCTGACTTTGAAGAACTGCAGCACTACATACAACTACAGCTATCCTGAGCAGCTACATCGAGGAGAGAAGACCCTGGCAAGGTACCGCTGCACCTCAGCGGTGCACAGCCTCCAGGGACCAATTCAGTCCCTGGGCTTTAGCTGCCCTTACTCACACAACAGCACAAATTAGTGACAACTTTGGGAGTCAGAAAAGTGAGAAGTGGTCTACAAGCAACTTTTTCCTATCAAACCAGGATCTGCACTAAGGCAGGCCCAGAGAGTACGCCCTGTGCAGCTATTAACAGAACATTCATGTGAACAACCCTGTTCGAAGATCGACGTCTGCTTGGGAAAGATGGGATCCACCTCGCTAAGGGGAGAAAAAGCATCTTTGCCAACAGGCTGGCTGACGTAGCAAGGAGAGCTTTAACCTAGGAACGTCAGGGGAGAGAGAGAGTTACAAGGAATGCAACATCAACAAAACAGGGCCTAAGTGAGGGCACCTCAAGCATTTGCATTTCAACAAGGAAGTGCCTACAAGGCAACCCTACGGGGAAAGGGCTCACACCCTTTCTGGGAAATCGGCACGCTTGGGTACCTCTCTGAAGCGCATGCAGCATGGGTAACAAACAGGAGGAATTAGAGATCTGTGTAGATCCTTGCAGGGATCTCACTGAGACCGTGGAGATGTGGTGGGACAGCTCACAGGGGCTCCAGGCTCTTTAGGAAGGACAGGCCAAGAAGGCGAGGAGGGGGAGTCACCCTTTATGTGAGAACGTGGTGGGAACACATGGAGCTCTGCCTAGGGGTGGACAATGGGCTGACTGAGAGCTCATGGGTAAGGATTAAGGGGCAGACTAACATGGGTGGCACTGTTGTGGGGGTTTGCTACAGGCCACCTGATCAGGAAGTAGTAGATGAGGCCTTCTACAGACAGCTGGAAATAGCCTCATGTTTGCAGGACCTGGCCCTCATGAGGGACTTTAACCACCCTGATATCTGCTGGAGGGACAACACAGAACTGCACAAGCAATCCAGGAGGTTCCTAAAGAGCATCAATGACAACTTCCTGATACAGGTGATAGAGGAGCCAACAAGGAGAGGAGCTCTGCTGGACCTCACACTTACAAGCAAGGAAGGGCTTGCTGGGGATGTGACGGTAGGGGGCAACCTTGGCTGCACTGACCATGAGGTGGTGGAGTTCAGACTCCTGAGAGGAGGGACAAAAAGCAGGATCACAACCCTGGAGTTCAAGGACTTTGGCCTCTTCAGGGACCTGCTTGGAAGAATCTCATGGGATAAGATCCTAGAGGGAAAGGCGGGGAGGGGACAGCAGCATTCCAAGAAAGCTGGTTGATATTTAAGGATCGTCTCCTCCAAGCTCAGGAATGGTCCATCCCAATGTGCAGGAAGTCAAGCAAAGGTGGCAGGTGACCTGCATGGATGAACAAGGAGTTTCTGGCAAAATTCAAACATAAAAAGGAATTGTGCAGGATGTGCAAGCAGGGACAAATAACCTGGGAGGAATATAGCAACACTGTCTGAATATGCACAAATGGGGCAAGGAACACTGAAGCCCATCTGGAGTTTAATCTGGCAAGGGATGTCAAGGACAACAAGAAGGGCTTCTATAAGCACATCAGTAACAGAAGGAAGACAGGGAAAACGCAGGCCTGCTGCTGAATGGGGCAGGGGCCCTGGTGACAAAGGACACAGAAAAGGCTGAGATACTGAATGCCACCTTTGCCTCAGTCTTTACTGCTAAGACCAGCCCTCAGGAATCCTGAACCCTGGTGACCAGGGAGAAAGTCTGGAGAAAGGAAGATCTTCCCTTGGGGGAAGAGGATCAGGTTAGGAATCACTTTAGCAAACTGGACAGGTGCAAATCCATAGCCCCAGTGGGATTCACCCACAAGTGCTGAGGGAGCTGCCTAATGTCATTGCAAGGCCACGCTCAAACATCTCTGAGAGGACATGGAGAACAGGAGAGGTGCCTGAGGCCTGGAAGAAAGACAGTGTCACTCCAGTCTTCCAAAAGGGCAAGGAGGAGGACCCAGGGAACTACAGGCCAGCCTCACCTCCATCCCTGGAAAGGTGATGGAGCAGCTCATCCTGGATGCCATCTCTAAGCACGTGGAGGACAAGAAGGTGGTCAGGAGTAGTCAGCATGGATTCACTAGGGGAAAATTATGCTTAACGAACCTGATAGCCTTCTATAACGGGACAACCGGCTGGGTAGATGAGAGGAGAGCAGTGGATGTTGTCTATCTTGACTTCAGCAAGGCTTTTGACACTGTCTCATAATATCCTCATAGGCAAGCTGATGAAGCAGGGGCTAGATGAGTGGATGGTGAGGTGGATTGAAACTGGCTGAACTGCAGAACTCAGAGGGTTGTGATCAGTGGCACAAAGTCTAGTTGCATGTCTGTAGCTACCAGTGTCTCCCAGGGGTTAATACGGGGTCCAATCCTGTTCAATTTATTCATCAGTGACCTGGAGGAAGGCACAGAGTGCACCCTCAGCAAGTCTGCGGATGATCTGAAACTGGGAGGAGTGGCTGATACACCACTGTCATTCAGAGAGACCTGGGCAGGCTGGAGAGGTGGGCAGAGAGGAACCTCATAAAGTTCAACAAAGGCAAGTGCAGGGTCCTGCACCTGGGGAGCAATAACCGCATGCACCAGCGCAGGCTGGGGGCTGAGCTGCTGGAAAGCAGTTCTGCAGAGAAGGACCTGGGGGTCCTGGTGGACAACAAGTTGACCATGAGGCAGCAATGTGCCCTGGTAGCCAAGAAAGGCAATGAAATCCTGGGCTGCATTAGGAAGAGCTTTGCCAGCAGGTCGAGGGAGGTGATCCTCCCGCTCTACTCAGCCCTGGGGAGGCCTCACCTGGAGTACTGTGTCCAGGTCTGGGCTCCCCTGTACAAGAGAGACATGGAGCTCCTGGAGCGAGTCCAGCTGAAGGCTACTGAGATGATCAAGGGCCTGGAGCATCTCTCCTATGAGGAGGGGGGGGGAATGTGATCAGCGTGTACAAGTATCTGAAGGGAGGGTGTCAAGAGAATGGGGCCAGACTCTTCTCAGTGGTTCCCAGCAATAGGACGAGAGCAACGGGCCCAAACTGAAACTCAGGAAGTTCCGTCTGAACATGGTGAAAAAATTCTTTCCTGTGAGGCACAGGCACAGGTTGCCCAGAGAGGCAGTGGAGTCTCCTTCCCTGGAGATATTCAAAACCCACCTGGATGCGATCCTGGGCAATGTGCTCTAGATGACCCTGCTTGAGCAATGGGGTTGGACTAGATGATCTCCAGAGGTCCCTTCCAACCTCGACCATTCTGTCAAATTTCCTCTAAAGTTGCACTACCCCAGACGAGCTACTCTCCTAAAAACAGGAGTCTACTTCAAATTAATTTCTATATGACAGCTGATTCCATACTACTCTGCCTGCAAAGCAATTTTAGCTGTAACCAGACAACTTTAATGTAGCTAATTTTCTAAACACTTACTGAGTTCATTTTTCAGGTTCTGAAAGATCTACAGGCAAAGTGATTTTTATTATGTCTTTTTTTTTTTTTTAAAGAATGTTACCTAATGTCATAAAAATTTCATAAGTAGCCTTGATCCAACAGGTCACTTAAGTATGTGGATATCTTAGATATGAGAATAGCTCTTATACTTGATGTATTTTCTGGCTTCGCTGTGTGCCCTCAGAAGACAGGACTGAGGTACCTCCCAGCAGAGCCTCTAAGGGAGTATAAAACTAACCCTGTATGGCTGTAAAACTACTCTTATGTGGCTGAAAAATAACCTGGACAATCTAACTGATCTGTTTTGCCAGTTTCTCCAAATGTAATGTTCTTTCACCCAAGCACAGTTTATCTGGCAAGCTTTCATGTAGGTTAACAGTAGATTTGCCTAAGATGACTTGTGTTGCCATATTTACAAGCCCTGATCCAATTTCCAGTACTTCTGCAATACTGAAACTAAAATACATTGTTAATTTTAATGGAGCTCTTAATGGAGAAGGCAGCAGCTAAAGACACCATTTTCATTCTCTAAGTACAGTCTCTCACCCATGCATATAAAAGAATCAAATGTCTCAAACTTCATGTGTAACCTGAAATAGTATCTATCTTATTTGCTGGACATGTTTTGCAGATTGATCTGGAAAAGGAGTTCACATAACATGCAGGACAGCAAAATCATTTTATATTCAGTTTTCATGAGCACTTCTATTTAAGGATTTAAACAAAACAATGTGAGTCTCCAAATCCAGGTTGAGGTATATTTTTTCTCTTCTTTTTTTTTTTAAATCAGGTGACTTCCCAGGACTGATTTCAGTCCTACTCTGTTTGTTTAATGCAAGATGTCAGCCTGGATTTTATCATATCAAAATAATGTACCAAATAAATTCAGCTGTTGAATAGCATCCCAGACTGCTGCATTCCATTGTAATATTTAAAAAAAAAAAAATCTTGTTACAGGCTGAAAAGAGGCATTTAAGGCCAGATTGTGCCTTTACAGAGTTCTCCGAGACACAGATCCCATTGGAATTTCCCCTTTGATTCTAGCTCTGGCACTGCACGGAAAGTGACCATCTTAAGAAATCCACAGTGTAGGTTTTCCAGCAAGACTGGTTCTCTTGTGCTGGTACTGCTCCTCTCCGATGCCACTACCATGGCTCATCCATGAACTGAGGCCCATCCTCTTGAACTGTGACAGTAAAACACTCCAAGCAACTCCGAAGGGTGGGCATACAAATCAAGCACTAAAATACTCCACACACTTTCCACTACCCCTCACGCTGACTGCTCTCTAGCGTAAGAGATGCTCAGAAGCTGCCACAACGTTGAAAATACCTGGAATGCAGTTCATCTGCATTAACATCTAGGAGAATTAATGTTTGCCTTTGTACCTATCTGGAGAACATCTAAGTTGTTGTTAAATTTTGGAACTAACTATCACAGAAACCACTGAGGCCAAAATTTAACAAGATGTAAAAAGAGCAGCAAGAATATCCAGTATCATCAGAGTACACCTTACAAGCATTCTGGAAGAGACATTAATCTCAGGCTTATAAGTAATTCCCTTGCTCATCCCTTCTCTCTTCCTCCCATGTAACACTACACTTGAGGCTTTCAGTTAAGACAGGCCTTGGACTTCTTAAATTGAGAAGTGTTTTGTAGCATGCAGACGGGCAGGAAATGATTTTGAACTGAAAATCCTTTGCATTGCAGTGCCTGAGATTGCACTGGATTGCACTGGACTGGATTCAATCTCCCATATCATCCCTTAGAATCCTGTGTTCCTGCAGCTTCATTTCTATACCTCTGAAGTTCTGGCACTAGTTACTGTCAGAGACAGGATCAGATTGCCTAACACAGGAAGTCTAAATGGCAGTTCCTATGGCTTTCTGTTCAAGCACCATTTTTTCCCAACTAATGAAAAATTGCAAATGTTTTAGTACATGGAGGAATGGCTGGCAGTTATATTTTAATAGTTATAAATTTTCTTCATTTCAAAAATTCAATGAATCTTTAGGCAAACTATGTATTCGCATAGTTCAGCGTTATGCATTCAGGTAAATGCATCTCTAGGGGAGGCAGTACACCAATACATAAACAAAGAAGCAGAAGAAAACAACTTACCTTTGTTAAAAGTTGCTCTAAGCCATTTGGGGCAGTTGTAGGATGAAATCGTCTTCTTCTGGGCATCCCATTTCTCACTGCTTTTACACTCTTGTCTCCTTTTTGCAGGGGGGGAGGTGGCACTGGTATCACATAATCGTTAATGATGGGGAGTCGATATGGGGATATACCAGTCACATATTCCATTGAGCTCATAAGTCTTAACCTGCTCTTCTCCCCCTAAAAACACATTTCAACCAGTTTAAATAGCAAAAATAGCTACAGAGCATACTGAGCTAACCACGGTTCAACTGTTCTTCACATTTAGCAACAGATACACTTCCAGAACAACATTTTAACTTGCTCCTTGCAATTTTGTTTGTGAAAACATTTCTGTTCTTAAATGCTGTCTTTTAATTTGCAAAGCAACAAGCACAAATGCAGAAACCAAGATCAGGATACTTGAAAATGTCACCCTTATAGATATAGGTAATATTGTAAACCAGGCACTACCGGTAAGCTGGCAGAGCCCTGATCACAACTGGACAGAATACTGCACAATCCCACAGCACTTCTGTGTTCTCTCAGTTGATAAGCAAATTCCAAAAGAGCCAGAACCTTCCAATAATAAAATTGGTTGGCTCCAATTATATAAGGTGCGTTTCAAAAGGCTTCTTTCCCATTTGTAGTGGAGGTTTAGTCCTCCATCACAATGAAACGCAGACAGAGGACCAGGGCCCTGAAAGGTGCAACAGGTCTAGAGAAGAAATTCTGCAGCCACTACATGCTCTGGATTGGAGCTATGCATCATCTTTTCATAATCTATGACTGATTCAGTTGTTTTGTCAGTAGCAAGCATTGATCTATTATTTAAATTACCCATAACTTGAAAGTTGTCAGAGATAATGCCAGCAAATTCTTGGGGAAAAGGACTGTGACCATCATAATACAGAGTAAATGCACAGCAGGAGGGGAGCTGCTCATATAGAGTCTGCCAGTCAGTGGTAGCAGGTCCCAGTCACAGTCTAAAATTGTCCAGTCCCATGGAGCTCCTAACGTAAAGCCAATTAACACCATGTTTTTCTAGAGAAAAAGTCCAAATCTCTCCTGAAAGTGACTATGTACATACACATCAAGACCACGTTTTACTACTCTGAACAGCTCTCATTCCTGACCCCACTAGGGTGGCTTAATAGGAGGAATGGTAAGAAAGAAAGGAGAATGAGGTTTTTTTGCTACTTTGCATTCATAGATAAAGATGCAAACTTGCAAGACTGTATTCTTGAGGTATTAGTGTTAACCAGGTGGCTGCTTCCCTCTCTACGTGACAGAAAAATCCATGTAGACGGAGAAGATTTTACACACACACACAGATTCTACACTACAAAAGAGAAGTCATCATATTTCGCCTGACTGCAATCAAGGACTTGGCATCAGACCAGTAAGACACTGTCTTAAAAATTACGGGGAGGTTAAAAGGGAGAGTTTAAATAAAAGCAGATAATAAATTACTACTTGGTAGGCATGCTGTCTGTGGCATACAGTTCTCAGAATTATAGCATTAAGCTGTATTATAAAGCTGTCCCTAAAATTATATCATTTTCAAAACAAAATATGGCCTCACCCCACCGGCAAACTGCTGATCATTTTCAAGTATGGGGCTCCTCTGTTTAGAGTTTGAAGTCTTTGGTACAGACCCTGCTGCAGCACAGCTGCGAAGGGGCTGGAGCCGAGACGGGCCTTGCATATATCCTGGAGCAGTATTTGGCCGGGAGGCAGAAGCCTAGAAAAGGAAAGAGATTCAGAGCATAGTTTCCAGTGTTTAGCAGCACCATAAAGAGAAAAATAGTGCCGATCAAGACTTTCAGAAGAGATGAGTGATTCTGAGGTACCTTCAGGAAACTTAATTTTCTAGTACCTTCTGCATTTGAAAAGCCAGACCCCTGTAAATATCTCTAACTGAGCATCCAAAAGCTGGAGCACCCAAAAAAAGCTCTTCACCATAAATCTAGCTTTTGCTGCTATCTGCTCGCAGTGCAGGCCTGAAGCAAGTGCAACTCATAGTGACCAGAGCAACGTGCTATGTACTGGGGATCTCAGCTCATGGGCGCTGCGAGAATGCATGAGGAAAATGTGTCTATTTCTGTTCAATACTCAGCACTTTTTTGACTTTATTTTTCTTTTATACCCTGCAGAATACCAAGTAAAAATGTTAAGAACCTAAAAAAACACAAAAAAAAACTGATTAAAATTAACTCACCATCTCAAAAAATGCAGACTCCTTCGTCTGGTGCTGATGAGAAGGATGTCCAGTGTTAAGATCAACGAGCGGTCCATGCGCCCTCTGTATGGAATTGGGAGGAGAAGGTCATTCAGGGCTGAAAGTATCTCATCAATCTACACCAATTATCAGTTATTGAAATGGAGAGCCAGTTAAAACTGGACTATATATTTGGCCTTTGACCTTAGACTTTGGCATCATTATATTTCAAAAGTTTATTAATGTTCTTTCTCTGCCCTTTTAAACATGAGAGTAAGAAAATTCTGAGTCACAAGAACTCCAAAGCACAACCTTCTGCCATGAGGTTCAGTTTTATTTTACCCCTTCATCTCCCTTTTCAAAAAGGCCGCCATTGTTTCAGAACTTTACAATATGTGTAAACTTGCGCATAACCACAGTATTTGTCGACAATACTAAATGTACGGTTACAGACCTAACCTGGGGTGACATGGCAGATAAGAGAGAGAAACGGAAAGATTAAAGCAGGTTTATCACAAAGTAAAGCTGTTTTCCTTTCTAAGTTCTGATGTGCAACATCAGTTTCTCCACCTTGCTTTGTACTGACACAATCCTGCAAACAGGAAACTAGCCTCAGGTGATGCTGGATGAGGCTCCAGTCTGGAACAATCAAGGTAGTCAATGCTGTAGACAAAGCGTTGACGCCACAGGTACATGTGCATGCTTTTGACTGTGTGCGTTTACATCATAGCATATGGAGTATTTGGTGAGACTCACCAATTGTGAACGACTAGCTCGTTCTCCAGCCACTAAAGGAAGGAGCCCATAATGATTTCTTGGACCAAGTGGTGGATGCGGGGAAAGCACAGGGTTAGCATCTTCCACAGACCTTCTGGATTGTTCCACCTAAAAGAACAGAGAATTATGCCTCTGAGGTAATTGGACAGCTGCAAAAAACAGTCAGCTTCCCTAGACCTGACGGAATACCTGGTTAATCACTCCTCAATTAAAGAGGAGACCCAAAACTAACAATGTGCAAGGAAATCAAGGGAAGAAGGGGAGGATGGGAGAAGGGGAAAAAAAAGACCTGTTCCTGTCTCTGATTTCTTCCCCTACAGCCCTCTTCGGTCCCTTTTCTCTCCAGTTCAATTCACATGACCTTGTTTCTATGCATCTCCCAATTCCTGGTCTGACTGAAGGTCTCTATTTTCTTAACTGGAGGATCTCCTGTGCCTCCCACTTCCTTGCTTCGACTGCTGTCCCCTCTACTTTTTTTTTTTTTTTTTCTTTCCCTCCCCAAAAGCTCCACAGCAGGCTGACTATCCTTCTGGAAATAGATAACGACGTCTCTCATCCTCCCTTGCTCAGTCATCTGTCCTTTCCTTTTAGTCTGGCTAATCAGTCAAATTCACGGAACATATGAAGCAAGAATTAATTTATACTGCTAATGCCAGCCAGGTTCCTGTGTTCCAGTGCAGCATCACTCCAAAGATACAGACCGCATATCTACAAGCACCTACCTTATGCTACTCACTGAAGCAAGCAGTTTTAGTTTATGTTCCAAGATTACCCAAGTCTAGAATCCTTTGACAGGGTGCCTTAGTCACTCTCCTTCCCCATAGCACTATGCTTCTTTCATTGTGGCGACTTTCTAGCAGCAGTTTAGTCAATAAATAATGCTTTTGCAATTACCACAGCGATCGGGGGTGGTCATGAGAATTTCCTCCTTTCGTTTCCCAATAATTGCTCAAAAATATATTACTTAAAAAGATTTGACATTGTTTTGCAACTGCACAAAGAAGCAGCTAGCTTCTCCATGCACTCTTCCCAATGTGTGCAGGCTCCTAACAAAGAAATAAGATGTTGAGGGTGTTTCAGCCAAGATGAGAACAGCTTTTCTGACATGAGTCCAAGTGACTTCATCGGGAGAACCGTTGACGTAAGTGGGATTTCCATGACTTGAACAAATACAGAATCAAGCTTTGACTATGCAACACAAAGCAAAGACTTCTGAAACCTCTTTTCATTACTTACGTACTGGTTCTGCTAAAAAATACGTGGAGATGCAAACAACCGAAAATATGAGCTCAATGCTCCACAGCAGTCAAAAGCAAATAGTGTCTCAAATTACTAGGAGAAGAACTGCCACACATATCTCAAATTATTCATCTGGGCCTGGTTTTCCATTTCAAAACAGAAATGGTAGAACTAGTAAAAGTAGAAAAAATGGCAACAGTAATGAAAAGCCTGGAATGGCTCATGTATGACAAATTCATGAGACTAGGGCTCTTCAGCTTGGAAAACTGAGAAGAATTATGATAAAGGTGCGTAAAAACATGAATGCCTTGGAAAAGAGGAATAGTTACTAACTTTTTTCATAATAAGAACCAGGGAGGATCCAACAGCATTATTAGACAGCAGATAAATAAATTATTGTGCAGAAATGCAAGGAAGTACTATTTCATACAACTCATAATTAAATTGCACGACCGAGAACACCGCAGAACCAGAAGTCTAATTCAAAAGAAATCAAACACATTCATGGAAGTCCCTGAACTGCTGGATGATGGAAGAAGGACCTGTATCCTGCAGCAGGATCATCCTCTGCTTTCTTATTTATTGTACTTGACCCATAAGCCTCTGCCACTGTTGGAGACAGGATACTTGGCTCAATGAATAGATTCCCGACTCATTACAGCTGTTGTTTAACACAGCACAAGACTGCCATGTCCCACCAGTACTCAGTATCATTCATGCCTCACCTTGATTTTTTGCACCCTTTCCTTCCTCACAAAATTTTCAAGTTTCCTTTTTATTTCCAGCTGATGATGACGCTGTCAATGTAAGAGAAAGAGAAATCTCATCAGTGGTCATAATGAGAAGTCAGTGAATACCAGAACACTTGCTTCTGTTCTGCCTATCACTTGCCTGCTCCCTGGTCTTTGTCCTCATTGCAGCCTATTATAAAACTAATATTGATTCAATCCATTTGCATCACACCTGTATCTGTTAACATTGGCAAGGGAACAACTGAGCATTTTTAAAGCTGTAGGGGTCAACTCAACTCTTATATTTAAAAAATGCAATTCATTTGCAACAGGAATGCGTGCAAACTTTGCACTCAGATAGGATACATAACTATTTTTCATTTATTTTCAAACAATTTCCAAAAAAATTCAAACAAATGAGCTTTGTGAATACCCATCCCATAATCTATCAATTTGAACTAGTTTTACCCTCACGTGCTGTAAAAAAATAGGTGGATTCTGGTTTATCCCTAAAGCTGTCATCCCTACCCTTCTTCAGCTGTAACCTCTGTATTTGTCATATGGCATTGCCGTTCAAAAGGACACAATCTCTTTGGAGTAATCGCTTACTCCGCCTGCTCTGCGGTCACTGTCTGCCTACGTTTGTTGGGGAAAAAGGAGAGAAGCAGATGCGGGCTTGAGTAACTCTGAGAGCTCCAGCTGATTGCTTGCAAACCTTTATTCCAGGAGGGAGGTACTCCTGAACTATAACAGTAGCACAGTACTTTTTCCTCCACCCCTTCGTCCTCCAAGGACTGCTCATCCCTCATGCATGAGATGGGGCCATCTGGGACACCCTGCACTCATTTAACAGGATACAGGCTAGAGAGGTGGCGTTCCACGGTTCCCCAGTAACATACTGGAGCCGATTCACCCATTGGCTCACCCCTGAAAGCGACAGCTAAACAAAAAACTTTGATTTTGGAAAGACATGGTTACCACTCACCCAATATACAGCACAGAGGGTAGGATCCTCTCTCACACACTACTCAGCCTTTTCTTTGTCTGTGTGGCAACAAAACACTACAGAAAATCTTGCCCTTAACTAGTGTAATATACTCTGTAAGAAAGCATTTGTACTATAATGACTGGTGCCCTGCAGAGGCCAGTAAGATCACCATCTCCTCAGTACTGAGCTTTCTCAGGCCAAGGCTTAGCATATGTTACAAAAGATGTAGCATCTGATAGAATGAACTCTAAAAGCAATCAGTATTCAGTGAAACTGCTAGACCTGGTCTCTCCCGTGCAGCAGCTTGTGCTACTGTTTCCACCTGTAGAGAACGCTCAATTTGGCAGCGCTGCACAGGCTTCCACTAGCATATTGTCCCACTCTTCAGGTGGCTACAGAAGCCCAGTAAGCGAGCCACTAGGACAAGCCCAGGACAGTGCGTGTACAAGTGACGGCATGGTATGACAACTAGATGCCAGTGGAGATTTCATGGGGGTTCCTCAAGCACAAAGAGAGCAAGTCTTTGCCTCCAGCACGAGAGTGCCTTTCATGGGAACACCAGGCACAGCTACAGAAAACAGCCCAGTGCTAGTTAACAGTCACTAGCTGTCAGGAGGGAAGTGTCTGAAAAGACTTACTTATCACCGGTAAATCATACCTCCATGTCAAGGACCTTATGAAATATGGCCTGAGCCAGGCACTCCTGTACATATTTTTGATGATCCCTCCTCATAGCATTTAGCTGGTATTCTTTCTCAGATATTATTCTTCCACTTTTTGAGATCTGCCGTGAACAAATAAAATGCAAGTAAAGAGAAGAGGAAAAGACAGAACAAAGTATGTCCTAAACATAGCACAATATCCCAGGAGGACAGCCTTCCCATCCCAGTTAGCCACCATGTCTGCTCTTGCCCAGCCGCTGGACCCCACCTTCCCAGCACAGAACCGTAGTTTCTTCAACCCCATGGGCCCTCCAGCCAAGAGGAGGGAGCAGGAGAGAAGCAGTCACACTTCATAGCAGCTGAGGACTCAGCCTTACTTGTGGGCCATTACCGAACTCAGCAGAGGGGAATTAACTACTTGCCTCCTACCGTGTAAGGGCTGCATCTGCCTCTGCTAAACAGAGCCATGCGTAGGAGTGCCTCAGTATTTTTAAACGTATTCAGCATGTCCACCTTCACCAAATCCTTCAGTTTCCCAATAAACACTCTTGAAAAATAAAACTGAAGCTATTTAAACCACCGCTAGCATCAAAAAGGCAACTGGAGTTTGCTAAATTCATTAATTTCACAAGCTACAGCTTAGATTTCACAGTTTCTAAATCTCAAGAGAATCAATCTGATTCTGTGTAATCACAAATTGAGAGATTTTTGCAGAGGCCTCCAATAAGCAAACAGAAATATGAAAAAAACATACTGAATTTAGCATAACTGTCCAAGAAATATTCTCTTCTGCCTAGAAGTGCAATACAAGTAGACACACATACATTCTCTTATCAGCATAACTTTGTAGTAATATGGTGCCATATGTAATGACTTCCTGAAACTGCCACAAGCTCAGGGCTACACCAAGGCTAATATTTGCCTACATCATCAGTCCATGTCGGCCACTGTTTCCCGTTCCACAAATGTAAGTATTAGGACCACTGCATCATGTAAGGGGATTACGTGCACTATGAAGAGTCACAGTTTCAAATACATCTTTTTAAGTCTTTTAGAGCTCATGTGCCCTCTACTCCAAACACTACTTGGAGAATTGCTGCAACTCCCAAAGTCCTCTCTTGTTCACTAGAAGATGCGCTGTCTTTCCCCTGCTGAAATGTTTCATCTTATACACACACCGCACTCCATCATCTCCTCCCACCACCGTAGAAAAGTGGCTAAGTCCAATAATCTCCCATTTTAATATGGAGTTGCGTGTTAGACAGGAGAACTGTCCCATTCATAGCAGGAACAGAACCATGAAATTAGTGTCGTTTGACTGTACTAGCTCTGGGCAGTATCACTTACCTCTTTCAGCATGCCACTGTCATTATACTATCACACTAGTATGGGCAGGGAATTAGTGATACTTGGGCAGGCTGTGGGTGCAGAGAGCAGGCTTTCTACATGTCCCCAAACCTGTGCTCCTCAGCAGCAGTTTCTCTCACCATTCAACTACAGATTCCTATCAGTCCTGCTGAGGACTGGGGGTAGATGCCGGAGGGAAGCCACAGCACAAGGCAATGCTGGAACACACAGCTTCTCTGCCAAAGCCTCTGCAGCTTCGCTGTTGGAACCTTTAACCAGCCCTTCCTACCCTTTCTGTGCTGCTGGGGTGCTGCAGGCAGCGGTTGATCAGGGCTTTGCATTAGGGAACAAGAGTCTCCAACTTCTCCTTCCCAGGCTACTGCGGCAGACAGCCCCGCACCCTGTCCCTGGGCAGGCAGACAGGCCAGAAGCACACTGCAAGCTGCGGCACAGACGCAAGCAAACGAGGCTGTGCAGCAGTAACACATGGGGCATCACTGTCCACCCTCAGCCGTGCACCCTCTCGATAACGAGTGGCCATCTTTATAGCACCCTGTGGTCCTTAGGCCTCGACCCTGAAACGTGCTCAATAGCAGCTGCAGTGCTCCCTCAGCTATCACTGGTGTCTTTAAAAACACTTTGCACCTGGACTAACACCCTGAGCTCAGTTTTACTTGCCTTTCTGCCCTCTCGGCCTGATGTACCACCCCTTTGGCCCTGGGGTATCCTGCTGACACTGGGTGATAATAATACAGCGGGTAATGTTTGGATTAAACAAACTGGCTCTAAGTCGCAACGTGATCACGTGGCCTTGATGTGGCACAGTGTAACTTCACGTGTTTGGTTAAATGGTCAGACTCCTACCAATGGCAACCTCTCTCTTATACAAAAAACAATGCAACCATCAGTGTTTTGTCTTTTGCAATACAAAAAGAAACACAGAATTCTTTTCTTCTTTTCTGATATAGCTATAAAAGGAAACTTCTCAGTCTCACCAGTCCTGATCTCTGCAGATGCCGTCTTATCCTCCTATTGCTGAAATATCCAGCCAAGTGTTTGTCTGTAAGGCTGTTGTAGGTTGCAAGAAATCTGAAATGAAATACAGATGCCATATAAACCCTTTTGACAGCCTAATTATTACCTTTTGCTGAAGTTAAAGAATTACCCAATAGTTTCCTGCACAAAATGCTGTCTTGAAGACTCATGCCCACCATTTTGTCAGATAAATGCCCATTAAATTATGTGAAAGTAACATCCCATTGCTCTGTGAAGATTCACATCACAAATAACTGACTGCAAATAGGATAGAGCAGCCATTGGAACATGGCCGATGAGACACAGGTTTTACCAGAGCCCAGTTTCGAAGTTCTCATTCTAGAACAATTCCCATAAGGGCTTCCTCAAATAAGAAACTTTGAGATTTGGCAGTTTAGTACAAAAAACGCCAACAGCATCAACGGCCATGCAAAGTGTGGAGCAGATTCCTGGATGAGCCTACCGGGAGCTGATGCCAGGTTCACGGCTTGCCTACGACTGATCCTGGCAGAAATACATAAGTATATTGCCAATCACCAGAGACACAGACTTTGCCAAAGTCCGGCTTCACTGCGCTCCTTCCACTGCCCTGAGCTGTCCATTACTCCTCTTCTTTCTGCTGCCTGGTAAGCGGTGATGAATCAGGCAGCTGTGAAGCCTCTGCCAGTTTTAGCACAGACTTGTAGAATAACTTAAGCTGGAAAGGACCTCTCAGTATCATCTGATTGGAACACCCACTCAATGCAGGGCCAACTTCAAAGTCAGATGCAAGGAATCTTCCAGCGGTCTTCACGGGCAGCTCTCGGCCATTATTAGCTGCTACGTAGCACAAAATGGAATTAGCAGTTCAAAAGAATTTCTTTCTTCAGTTCTTAAGCAGAAACTTCTAGCACCAACAAATAATTACAGCATAACATGGCTTCCATAACATTTTCATTGGTCTGAAAATTAGCATGCATGTTACCAACCTAGGTGCAAATCTCTGCTCTGATGAAGGCTACTAAGGTATTTTCAGTCCTAGCCTCCATCAGTATCTGTATTTACATCCTTTTTTAAGGCACTTGCCTCTTTAATATTCCTACCATTACAGGAAGTACATATCAAACTCATCCCTTGGAACATCTAACACAGAAACCAAGTGGTTTCAACTCCAGGTGTCTAAAAAATAAGCGTAAGCCTTCCTTCCTGTTTTGAACCACTTTCTCAAATAGAATTCAACTAAGTGACTGTTAAAACGTTGCCTGGCCGACCGCTACATTTTAATGATCAAAAGCCTGTTTAAAGAAATAGTCCTCCTTTTGGCTTTAAACCAGCAGAAATCAGAAACCACACAAGAAAATTAATTCATGACAGAGATTAAGAACCACCCTGTCTACTTGAGGGACTGTATATTACAGCACAATAGTGACTTTTTTTTTTTTTAAACAAACAACCTTGTCCTACAAAATATTTGTAAACTGACTGTAAATTCAATTGCACAAGATTTGTACAGGGTAAGAGTCACAACTTTTGTGGTACTTACAGGCTACAAAGTATATGTTATTGTAGCATGCTTTTGCTGACCGTTAGCTTATATCAGCAGTTTGTCTGAAGCGCAGCTGGCATTGATGACGATCTCTTTTGTCCTCTAAACACAGCTACTACATTTTACTAAAAAACATCAGATCTACTGCACATGCCTGATTTGCTCAAGCTAAATAAACAACAAATGCACTCTGCAAGAAACAGAAGAGCTTGTGTAATAGGTCAACAAGTACCCTCGCGTCTAACACTGTCTACACAGATGAGGAGCCTGACACACCACTGCTCTGACAGCCCACGAGCAGCAAAGACACAGCGAGGACGAGAGAACACCAAGAGGAACGTGGGGGCCTTCTCCCGTCCATCTGTCCTTTCAGCATCTGAGTCACCTTTTTGTGGAGAATACGCTTTATGCTGAAAGGACAAGAAAGAGTCTTTATCAAAATTAGGACATCAGAAGACAGCCGAGTAGTAAAAAGTAATGGCTCCCTTTCAAGAGCCCAACCTCCTCCGGCTTAGCAAACACAGATGCTGAACTCGTCATTCAGTCCAACATTAACCTACGCAGGTCAAAACTAAGACCTAGAACTCTTTGCCGCAAAGCGCTCTCAAAATTTTAGGGACCAATTGCTCTAACGCGTCATTCAATCTAAAAGACTTTTGGGACTACCTTGTTGTAGTGGGCAGAATCATGGGCTTAGACCACTTTCTGCTTCAAGTTTTCCCCTTTAAAGGCCCCTAATTTAGGGGTGCTCAAGTCCTACCCACATTCAGAGCAATGAAAATGGGCCCAAAATCAAGCACAAGAACCTCTCAACTCTTTTCCCAGTTCTCACGTCAATATACTAAAGATTCTCTTTAATGCATACCCAGGACAATTCAGAATGAACAAATTGCATCTCTCCTTCGACACGTTGGTGAAAACCAGTAAGATCAAGAAGCACGCAGAATCAGAGAGGGGGCCAGAGGTGGGGGCCCTTCCTTGCGCCACCCAAGCCTTGGCATGCTGTGCAGCTCTGGAAAGCCGGTAGAGCTAAATCACTGCAGCTACCAAAGATCAGAGCTTCCAAAAAATCAAACCTCAGCTATGAGTTGAACACACAAAGTTAAGCACCTGTAATAGGAAAGACGTTTTTAAATAGCTCTTAGCACAACCTTATTTTACTTCACTCTCTGGAAGACAGCACTGATAAGAATATAGGTGACAATAGGTTTAATTTTTTAATACTCTAAACCATTCAATTTTGTAAAATTTATATAATCAGACACATATTGCATAATACAATCATATTAACCTATGGCTCTTTAGATAGGATGTATTTTAATTACATAATGAGAGATCCCTTTTGTTTCCTTTTGCTTTAAATGCCACTGTACCTCCATTACACATCTTTCAATAGGATAATTCAGGTTAAATTTCTATTGCTAGTCAGAGTTACCATATACAAAAGAAAGAAAAATTAAAAAATAAATAAATAAAGGAAGTGATGACAGACTTATGGGAAGTTCATAATCTCACAGGTAGCCTACCAACAATAAATTAAAGTTTAAATAGACTATTTGGTTTACCCTGTTATGCATGTTAAACAAACACTGGTACTGTAGCAACTGTTTTACATTACTTTCTTAATCCATTGATTGCATTTGCATTCGAAATGGCCAGACTACAGATATTACGGCAAGTATTGACTTACGGTATCACCTGGCAATTGTATACTGAGGCAGAAGTGAAATCGAATCCAAATCCTCCTTTTTTTTTTTTTTTTAAAAACTCCCTTCCCATCTAACAGTCTCCTTGTAGGTGCATTTTCTCATTTAAATTACAAACAGACTGTTCCTCAAAAATGCTGAATTTAAATTCAAAGTTCAAATGGGTATTGAAGGAAAAAAGGAAACGCCTTGAGGCTGAACCAACACCCATTGAAACCACTGGAAAAACCCAGCTGAACTGAGTGGGCTGAGCCTGAGCTCTCTGCCCGGCCGGACGTCTTGCCTGATGGAGCTACGCAGAACACCCCAAGTAGAATGGAATCCAGTCTAAACGTACTAAGCAGGGGCTGGCCCTGCAGGCCTTTGCTCCTCTGGAAGTACAGCTTCTGTAGAGATTACACTTTTCATATTTCTAAAAGCAAAATGTGAACAGTCAGAAAACTTCCTCCTTTTCACCTGACTAGAATTTTAAAGTGCACAACAATACAAAATAGGGGGAAACAAAGAAATCTCCAGGCTTACATATACTTGTTATTAACCAGCCAGTTTAATTGGAAACAGAGCTAACTTCTGGAGCTCAGTTGACCTGGGCCTGCCAAGAAGGGGAAGAGCTGCCAAGGAGCTCTCCCCTCTGTGAAGCCATCTGAACACAAAGACTTTCCGGACCACCCCAAAGGGCAGGCAGCTAAGCCAAGCAGCTTCCTTCCCCAAGGCAGGCAATCTCTCAAAAGTCATCACGTGTGGAGTATGTGTTTTATACAGCTCCTTCACGGCCTCTGAGAAACCTCACACCTGATGCCTTCTGGAGCAGCTGTCAAACGCGGAGGCAGACTCACTCCATCGCCAACATCTGGCTATGCTTCATGCGGACAGCTTGGCCTTAAATCATTTGAGACAAGCAGCGTTTCAGTTCTTACCACTCACACTTCAGTATCGTTTACACTTCTAGGATAACATCTTAACAGCCCATTCAGAAAAATAAATTGCTGTCACTGGAGCCATCTCTTCTTTTTTCCCTTTAGAAAAAGTAATAAATTAATAAAGACAAGTACAACTGCTCAGATTAACTGGTGGAAAGAAGCTATAGAAACCAAAAGAGGCACAATTTATTTTGCTATTTAAAAAATGTATTGATGGGCTAAAGTGAAACATACAGCCCTCCAAAACCACCCAGGAGAATTGCCTCTGCAGCCGCAGGGGATCCGGCTGCACCAAGGACAGAGTACAAGTTTCACCCACGCTGCTCGCGGCTTCAGCTGACTTCTCGCACTCTCTTGTGGGACTCAGTGAAACAGTTTCTTTTTTTTTTTTTTGGCAATCCAGCAAAGCCAAAAGACTTGAAACCACTACTTGATGCCTAATTGAAGCAAAACACATAACATACTACAGCTGATGACTTTGATTTTGGTAAATTAAAGAACTGCCCACTTGGAACTCTATATCCTCCATGGTTTTCATGTGCAATATCATTACCAACTATTTTATCAACAGTATCTGTTTTCTATCAGCTTAGAGTGCATTATACAACATCTTAAAAGCCAATGCTGTGTATCGCAATGATTTTTATGACCACTCTTACTGATTTGAAAGGATATTAGAAGAACGTCATCACAGGCCTCCAATATTAGTTTTATAAATCAAATCTTCATGGTTAACCATTTACAGTGTAATCAAGTCAGAGGCTGCTCACTAAAAAAATAATCTAAGAGAGCAAAGCTTCTGTTATTTATTGGAAGAATCATAGGAAATTACATCTCCTGCTTTGTACTGACAACTGGAGTTTATTGCCACTCTTCCACTTAAATTACAATGAGAACAAACAGTCCCAGCCATGATGGGCAACGCATTCCTAACTTTAATAGGCTACCTTTGGACTTCCTCAAGACACAGCTGTGGCTTCTAAACACAGCTATTAAGTTTCAACTACTACCGCATTCTTTACGGGAAACCATGCCAGAACACCACCATCGAATCAAAACTCACTGAAGTCAGAGGACCACCTAAAATTTGTGGTGATAGGGCTTTGGATTATGTCAATAATTGATTTTTTCCAACCCCACAAAACCCTTAAGCACATGTTCAGTTTTACTCAAGTGATAACTCAACCAAGTAAACGGGGAGGCCACGGCCTCTCAAAATCGCATCGTATCCCTGCTTACACATTTGCAGGGCCTCCGCCTCAGCCCTGGCCATCTGGTCTCAGCCAGACCCTCAGAAGTCTTTCTCCAGGGTACACATACCACGCCCCACTCGGGCTCTCCTTCCACAGGCTTCACACCGCTTTTCTTTTTTTTCCTCCATCTAACCTAACCTCTATAATGGCCAAACCACTGAACACTGAAGATTCTTTGCCCAGATACTCATTGAAAACCTTATCACTTATTTTGTGCCATCTCCATCCTTGGAGGCTTTCAGGATGAAGTAACCTCGTCCGATCCCATAGATGACCCTCTCAGGAGCAGGAGATTGGACTAGACACCTCCGGAGGTTCCCTCCCAGCCCCAACTATGTTATGATCCTATGCTTCACTTGGTTTCCAGAAGGGATTAAATCCAGCCTGTGAGGAGCAGAGGCAAAACCCAACACGTGCTGGTCTGCCCCCATCCATGTCAGCATACTCTTTATTAGCCCCAGCTCTGCAATGCTCACTGTTTTCAGTGTCAGATACAGATCACATTCACTTCACAAATATTTTAAGGAATACAGACAACCAGCTACAGTGACATTGTTTCCGAAAAACTGAAAGAACAACAGATACCATCTGGAGCGCAAGAGAGCCTTTCATGGTAACTAGCATGAAAGAATCCTCCAAGAACAAGGTTTTAAATATTGTTTGGAATTCTATATATGAAAATCTCTTTAGTGAAGAAATACATACTGCCTGACGCCCCAAACGGCCCCGGGCAGCCGGTTCTGCTCCTCAGACGCGGCGCTACTGACGCGGCTGCTTTTTCCCCATTTCCCTGTGGAAACAGACCCCAAGCAAACCAACCAAGCCCACACCGCCGCCTCGCCAGCGGCGACGGGGGACGGGGGGAGCGGTTCTCCTCAGGGCACCG